TTAGTATAATTATATATATATATATATATATATATATATATATATATATGTTTATATGAATTTATTATAATAAACAATGTAATGTATATATGAGATTGAAGAATGTTATATCTATTAATGATAACACGACGTGTTATTGTTATTAGTTAAATATATTTATAATACTGTATAAATATACTTTTTAATTTCCTACTTTTGCGAATTGTTTTTGTGAAAAGAAAAATGTTTCCTTCTGACTCATAAGTCTTAAATATGTTAAGTAAATATGTTAAGTTTTAAATATGTTATGCAGCTTTAAAAACACGCGACCATTATATATATAGAGTTTGTTGCAAAATTCTTTAATAGCTAAAATGATTCTATTAATTACGTTTATCAATCTTTCAATATATCACTCATTCGTGTGTTGAATCATCTCTCTCTATAAATCACATTGATAATTCATACCTCGTTTTTATTAATCATCAAGTTGACAGAGCGCAGCTACACCTCGATTAATCCAATGTGATTCATCCAGATCTGTTGGAATTAAGATATAGAGTATAAAATTGGAAGAATGTCCAGTAGTAGCTAATACACCGCGTCTAGCACTTGTCTTGTACACAGGACAATAATAAACGTCTTTTATGTCGAATTCAGCTTTTACACCAGGTTTTAACCATATAATGGGTAGCACGTCGAACATTATCTTGGGTTTAGATTCATCCAGCAATCTCGTCTCTCTGTTCCATCGAGCTCCTTCCAAGAAGAGACCCTGAAAAAAACATTGCGAATAAAGGTTTATTGATAGTGACAGATGAAGACACGTCATCGCGGCCAAATAAAAACCGTAGAATGTAAAACCAATTTTGAAATGTTTATTTAAGTTTAGGTGCGAGTAAAACTTTACATACGTGTATATAGACGCCATAAGAAGGTGCAGAGTTAACGCTCGATTCGAATTGAGTGAATTCGAATTCAAAGTCTAGCAGATCGATCGGTATTTTGTGTTTGCGAGCATAATTCTGCAGCACCGCGGTTAGAAATGATTGCGTAAAAAAGAAACCAGATATCCAAAAGACATTCGGTGCGTCATGATCAATCCAATCTTGCAGGAACTGCAATCTTGCCAACAGGTCGTTCACATAACTGCCCAGCGGTTTTAGCGAGGGATATGATTTTCTATCCCACGCAAGGGGCACTTTGCCGATGCTTATGCTATGATAAATTTCCTCTAGTTCCGGCGACATCAACACCAGTCCTTTGATGGCTTTCTGCACGTTGTCCAACGTTTCCTTGATGACTTCGGTGAGTTCGTTAAATTTAACAAGCTCCTGACGCAACACTGTATTCATACTGTTGATGTAGAGTACCGGATATTTGCTCGACACATAGTCTATGTCAAACGGTGGCCGCATTCTTGATAGGATCTCACTGGCCAGAGCGAAAACTATTTCATCCGTGTCTTTCTCGACACCTGAAAATTAATAAATCATCATATTATTATCATATAATTTGGATTATGACATGACGTATTTGAAAACAGTAATATTATAAACATATTTCATAATAATAGCATGTTTATACTATTTGACGATACAAATTGCAATCTTGTGACAAATTATTTGTATAATATTTTTGCAATTCACTCGTACAAAAAATCTATCAAGTGCATTGAATAATATAGAAATTGTATAATATCTATTAATAGGCAATCTATATAATATCTATTAATAGGCATCGCAACGATAATATTTCATTTATAAAAAGCAACGAAACGAATTATTATGAACGATTATCATGAAAATTGATTTGAGTTTGGAATTGGAAAGTATTATTTATATTATACTCGCCTTTTCCGCTAATTTGTGGCTGCGTAACAAGCGCACTCGCTAATAGTTGCATCGCTCCCCGATTGTCCTTCGCTATGTCCGCATTTTCATGCAAACCAAAAACTTCTGGCATTGGATTAATTGGTAAACTGCGAATGTATTTCAGACATCCCTCATAATCGGTGTTCTCCGGTATATGATAAATTTCACTCGGAGAGAAAGAGTATCTGCAAAGTTAGAAATTACATATAGAATATTAAAAAGAACTTAACGAATTTTCAAAAATGTATCATTTGACTGGTATTGGATTGGTAACAAAAATTTGATTATACTTTTCAATTTTTTCATTTTTAATATTTAAAATTAAATTATAATATTATTAAAGTTACAATATTCATTTAAAAAAAAATTTGATAACTAATTTGTTTATGGATAAATTTTGATTTTTATTATATGGGAAAATCAATGTCAAGTTGATAGAAAAATATATTCCCAGCTTTTTCAATTTTATATAGACTTGAAAATAAGAAATATTACTCTCTACGTATAATAACATCAGAATTGTAAAAGTTCTTCAGCAACGTATTCAGCAAACGTCTGTCTTTATCATCGGTCACTCTTCCTCCATAATTGCATTCTCCTGTCAGATAGATGAGTGCGTCGAATGGTACTTCATCGTAATCATTCAAAAATAGCTAAATCAATGAGAAAACATAAATATCTATGTCAATGCCAAGATATTCGTTATATTCGTTAAATTAATAAAAAGAATGTCGCTAATGCGACCAATACCTGTAATTGTAAAATGCTGATACGCAAATCAGTCTCATTGAATTCATAAGATATATTCCAACCGAGTGGACCGAAATACCGTCTCTCTTGCACCACCGCGTGAAAGAAACATAGGGAGAACAATAATTTCCTCCACTCCACTATCTTCGTGCACTCGCGGAAGAATTTGGGATCCGATATAGGATCGTTCAAATAACTTCGCAACAAGTTGTTTTTCAATCCCTTCGGCGGTTCGTTCGTCATCTTGACGCCGTTCTGCAGTATGGACACCGGGAATCCTTTGGACGGATAGCTAGTCAACCATATACGAAAGTCAGAATGCGTGTTCTCAGGCACGATAATCTCGTCGCATATTCGGTCGAGTTCCTTCATCCACGACACGGCGAGATGACAGTTCTGTAAAATGACCCACTCGCCGCTTTTAATACCGCGCTCGATCATACTAATCGCAATTGGGCCCTGGCCTTGCCCTAGCGATATCGTTAGGAGATTCTTCTTCGAGATTCCGCGGTCCTCGGCAAACTTGATCAGTCCAGCCATCGGGTCTGCTCCGGGCGAAAGTATAAAGATGAGGGGCGTGACATTACTCGAGTCGTCATACGAACTCTGTAGATCGAACGGCGGTGGTTCCACGAAAGGTACGCCCATGTGATGGATGATGAACGACTGTACGGCGGCGACCAGCTTGTCGGTCCTCACGCATCTCAGGATCACGAGCTTCCTCAGGCTCTCGCCCTCACGTTCGAACGGTGGCGGAAAAGGATGCTCCTGCGGATTCGACAGATCGTAATACGCCTGCCATTGCGATATATTGGACTGGAAGGATTCTCTCAACTTTTCAAGACCTGGTAGGAGACTAGCCCTTACAATCTCGGACCAGGATTTGTCGGTCAGCCACGAGGGATCGGGATTGGGATAAGGATTATCGAGAGCCACTCCGCCTGTTAATAGAAATACCCAGAGCTCTTCGTTCAGTTTCTGAGCGGCGCGTAACAGGTCGGCACAGAGAACCAGAGAGAATATCAACTTGTCCTTCTCAAACAGAGAACGACACACGTTTCTATAAATGCTCGCCGTAAAATATGAATTGAGACTCTTCATTCGCATATCCAGATCTGCCGATTGCTCGCTGTAAGCTATCGCCATGACGTAGAGATGCAGGAACCACGGTAGCGAGTATTGGTACATAGGATCGATGTTGGCCAGCTCGGAGATGCAAAAGAAAAGAACTGCCCCGTGCTTCGAGACTGGCTTGTAACCATTGCGAGCTCTGTCTATCTCCGCCGAAGTCTTCACCGCAATTTCCTGTTTCGTCTCAATATCCTCCGATAACATTTTCGAGGTCGAGAGTATCCTGATGGCGGTTTCGTCTTCGAGTATGTTGCCTTCGGATGTGGTAAGAACCTCCAGGATTTTATCCTCGATCTCCTTCAGAATTCTCCTGTTATTCGCGCCCTCTACTATCAACTGATTTTTCTTCTCCTCTAGCATCGGCAGCTCCTTAGCTACTACAATACCCAACAGTTGGTCCTGCAGGCCCTGAGGTGTAATCATGAAATTCAATAACGTCACCTTTACCGCAATCTCGGGCAGGTAATGCGGATTTCGTAGACGCGTAGTGATATAGAATCGAAAATTTGGATTGTACTCTAACACGGTCTCGCCGAACTTCATGTACAGCACTCCGCGCTGTTTATATATGTTCTTCAGCAGCACAGGTTCCAGGATCGCATCGATCTCCTCCAGAATATTTTCCAGCAATACCGGCAATCCCAGTTGAATGCTCATCTCCATCACCCTCATGTAATTGGGATCCGTGAGCTTGATCACCGCCAGCTTGTTCGGCTTCTCCATGTTCTTCACCCATTTATTCGCCTGATTCTGTGGATCGATCATCAGCGGCCAACGATCGGCGTGTTTCACAATTATACCGTTCTCCACGGAGAAGTTGTCGGCCGGCAGACCCTGGATACGCCCAACCCCGGATCTCTATCGCCTCGCCAAGTATATCGATCAGATTAAATCTCGCGCCACATGGTATAGCCGCTCGTGTGCAAGAGACGTGCCACTGGTCGATTAAATGTTTCTGTATTCTATTGTGAATGCTCCTAGATAAGCCACCATTCCGGACGACAACAGAATGTCTCCGATTACATTTCCCAAACTAGCGCCCAGTTTACTAGCGGTTTCGCTCCATCTAGTTTTCTCACCGCTCAGTCCACCCAGCAGTTTTTCCGCTCTTTCCAGTTTCTGCCTGCAGTAATCGATCTGATCTTCCAGCTTCTTCTTCTCGCGCATACACTCGGCGAACTCGTCATTCAGGGACTGCAACTTTTGTGTCACTTCCTGCAGCAGGGCCCTCTTCTCGTTGAGCATCTCCATTTGCGCGGCCAGCGCGGCCTCGGCTTCCGCCAGCATCGCCTTCTTCGGCGCAACGACCTTGATCACGCGATCATATACCTCCATGGCGCGCACCCACTTGCAAAGACCTTCGCACGCGGTGGAAACCTTCTTGATTGCTTCCGGTTGGAAGCTCCGGTCGTTTATAAATTTCTCGCGGATGCGTTTCATGTATGCGGGCGGTATGTTGTCCTTGTCAAAGTTTTTCAGATTCTCCAAAAACTTCATTTCGCCAAGTAGTCTGATGGACGCGGGCCAATAGTCGTCTATCGTTTGGCCGGTAACCGGATCTTGGACTCGATCTGGTTTTATGCCCTTCAGCACGCATATCGCTTCCATCACCAGTCTAACGCCGGCCGGAGGGCTCTTCATCGCTTTCACGATCGTGATGTCCGCCGGCTTGAGGGTGTCCAACGCTGCCAAGGCTGCTTCTAGCGCCGGAGTAGCCTCCGCCAAATCGCTCTCGCAATCGTCCTTGATTGCCTGAGCCGCCGCGGCCGCTTCGTTCGCTAAAGCTTCATCAGCCGCCACGATCTCTTTCTTCGCTTCCACGTTGATGGTGTCCTGCTCGATTCTGATCATTAGCTTGTCGCTCAACTGCGACTGCGCTAATAATTTTGGTTGTAATTGATGTAGTTCGTCTTGCATAATCGTCACCTGGCCCGCAGCGAAGTCCAGCCTCTCCAGACCGACTTCATAGCGATTCTGTTGCACGGTAATCTGTTCGATTTTCTGCCCGTACAATCTGTATAACGATTTGATTAACTGCAGGAAACTCGTAGGCGTGATGTAATACCGTCTGCCGTAAGTCAAATAATAATCCTCGCTCGTCACGGAGACGCTTGTATGAAACTCTTTGCACATCTGTACACATTTCTCACGCAATTCCGAACCAATATCGAGATCTCTTAATGACATTCTAGCTACTTTTTCAAGAGCATCCTCGGGCCAGACCGTGTACCAATCGATAGTACAACAATTAATGAGCGATGGGAACATTCTGAGACGATTCCGAAAAGTGTCGCCTATTGGTGACATTGTCAAGACTATGTGAAGGAATTTTTTAATCCTTTCGATGAAGAGACCATAAAGCACCATCGGTGTCATTTCCACTTTCTTGCCACCGCTCGCGTCTCGTGCGATGGTCATCATCTTGTCCAGTATTTCCGCCTTCTCCTCTACCGCGTACAAATTTGGGACGTCCGCGGTATTCAAGATCATGTTAATGTCCTCGATGAAAGATTCGTCCTTGATCTGATGATCGCCGAAGATAAAAACGGTGGGCTTGCCGTCACATCCGACGCGCAACAGTAAATGCTTCAGATCTTCCCGCCACTCGGCTGGTCCATAGGTCTTGGTGATCTCGATCTGATATATCTGATACTCGCACATGCTGGTCGCTAGTTTGGTGCAGGAACAGCGACCAGAACCACCTATTCCAACGAGTAGGGCATGGCCATTGTCTTGCAACAATATTCGAGAAACACGAGAAGTATGCTCGATGGCGTAACGGAACAGCACCAGATTCATCGGCGCCTGCGAAACCGCGTTGTACTCGGCCAAATAATAATCCATTTTTTCCTGGAGATCCTCCAAATCTGTCACTTCGTCGTACACCTTCGGATCGGCGTCGGGCTCGATGTAATTCCCGAAAAAGATTTCGCGAATGTGAGAACGCGTGATCGCTCGTTCATTCGGCTTGAGCAAACTGACGAGCACCTTTTCCAACGGCTGACGCAACTGATCGTAGCAGGTATATTGCACCATCCTGAATAGCGTTTCACGATCAGTGTCGTCTATCAACCTGTCGTGGAAAACACGATATATCTCGTGAACCCATAATCTGATGAGTTTATCGGGATCTTTCATTCTAGCCGCTGGCACCAGAAGTACACCGCCGATAACTCGACTGAAATCGCGCAAGTTAAACTTGTAATGGCTTCTCGATGGCGTTGGTAGGAAATTTTTGATAGCTTCGAGAAACACCTTCATGGTTGCATTCACTGTCATCTTGCTCAATCGTGAAACCTCCGGAACAAAGCCCTTGGCGAAATGCCAGTCGAGAATCGACGAGAAAATCTTCGTCATCGTTGCTTCCTCGAAGGAATCGATACCGATCACATGCATATGACGAATGAATCGTGGCGTCACGACATTAGAGCCGCCTCCGGGTGGTAGCATAGCCGCGATTAGCAGGATATCCACTAGGTACAGCATCGAGGTGTCCTTCGGGTCGAACCAGTAACCATGATCTATCCATTGACGAAGCAATTCTATCGGCGGTTGGGCGCCATAGATTTCCACCTGCGGCATGCTAAGGTCATCGACGAATAATACACACTTTTTCCCCATCGCAGGACCGTAAACCCCTTTTCTTCTTCTATCCAACTTTGACATGACCATCTCCTGTGTCAGCGGCGCGTTCGTACGCGCGCTAAAATTTACAATATTCTCTAAGAATTTTTCCCGAGGTAACGATACGAGGTAATTTAACACGATGGCGGATTTGCCGGTGCCTGTGGGTCCCACGAACAAAAGTGGCACTAATCTCTGCATAAATTGCTTGATAAAGAAATGCTGAATGGATGTCTCCGGTGTTTGGATGATCAGCTCGCTCGCTTTCGCCGTTGCTGGCAAAGGTGCCTGAAACATATATTCTAAATGTTTATTATTTTCCCTTTGCTTTTCTCCAAATTGCCGACAATTTCAAATGCTTCACTTGAAATTTTTATTAATTTGATTTGTATATGTTTATATTAATGCTCCGATATTAATTAAAAAATTTATCAAGTTTTAAAAATATATAAAAGTAGGAATATTATAATTACCTTTTAAGTTTTTATCACTCATCTTATGATTTTATCAATACATATAATTCAATACATATAATTGCTTTTTTATTAATACCTGCTGCATAGTATCCATCCAAGATATCCAGCATCCACCATTCCTCTTCTCGTAAATCCAATCGTATACCGTACCTTTATCGGGAAAATCTGTTTCTTCGTCAATTTGAACATCTTCGGCTTAGGATACTCCTCGATATTACCGAGTAACAATTTTCGCAGATACACGTCAAAGGCTTTTCTGCTGTCGCTCGTTAATATTGAACACATGCCCCAAACTATGCTGAAGAGTAATACACACTGCAGCCATACCGTGCTCACTTGTGCCTCTTCTGCTAACATCATGCTGAATACTCTTGTGAAAGACTATTATATGTAAAAAGAAAAACATTAAATTAAAATGCATTAAAAAAAAGTATATGTTTAAAAGATATTGTAATTTTGAGGGTTCAAAATGTTCATTATTTTTTTCAAGTTCTATTTTCAATAAAATTATAAAAAGGAATATTTTTTAAAAAATTTTCCAAACGAAAGAGATAGTAGAGTATTGAAATGTAGTAACTTCGGCAATTAATAAAAACTCCTGTGAAATTGCATAATTTTGTTTTCAACTTTACTCGCTCGATAAGTTAATAAATTTTTCACAATTTTAATATTGTAATAGTTCCTTGCTAAATCGAGTAATATAACACAATTTTTTGTCATACTTACTAGAAACATATGTATCTCCGATGTATTTATAAAAGTCTTACAGCTGCGTTGGATAAAACGTAATATTGGATTAGTTAGCCATTCGATCAACTCGAAGATGAGTTCACATTGTTCGGGCAGCAATTTTTCATTGAGATATTTCTTGTAAGATTCGAAAATTGGATGCCAACCCAACTGAGAAGGCTCCATGTAGATCATGCCGCATCTGCTGACGGTAGCGGGCGAAGCATGCTCGAGGTCTGCCGGCTCGAAGATCATATTCATCTTGGGGGACATCTGTATGATCTCGCCTGACATCAAGCAGAGCTTTTTATTGTCGTCCAGCACGGTGTTCATGCTCTCAATCCAGATCGCGTCCACTGGACCGTCGAATACGATCCATTTGCGCTCCAACGAGATGGATTGCGCGTACTCGCGAAACGTATTGGCCAACACGCCGTCGCTCCATTCGTGCGACACCGGATCGAAGCTACCATACAGCTGGCTCAACATGATAGCCTTGGGATTGATCACTCGATAAATCGTGCGGTGCTCCCGCATCGTGGCTTTCCGTCTCACCGATAGATCGCCCAGGGAATCGGCTAGTGTCTGATAGGCTTGGGTTTTGCCACCCAAGGCCGTACCGACAATCATCAGACCATGTCGCACGAGTATCATTTCGTAGATCTGTACGATCTTCTCCAGGTACCAATCGGTAGCCTGAAGATTTCGCTTCGCTAGATTCGTCTTCAACAGTTCCACCAGCTCGCCACGTTCCGGTTGTGGCAGCTGCACTTCCGGGAAGAGATCCATGTAGATACCGTTGAAAAGAGAAACGTCCTGGGAGAGAAACTTGGGCAAATTGACATCCACGATGGCGCGGAGTACCAAAAGGTGCTCCTCGCGCTTCGGATATTGGAGCTTCAGATTGCCGGCCGCTATGAGTACGGTTTTGACCGCCCGCATTCCGTAATCGTAATGTTTTTGAGAACTCAATTGTTCGGAACATAATTTGTAAGTGTGAACTATTTTCTCCGCTAGACTCTTGGCGTTCGTGAAGCCGTACGAGTACAAGGTAATCTCACCGATCATGGCATAGTCCGGTACCATCATCGCCACCGTTCGGAACAACGCCTTCAAGTTGTCCGGTAGTTCCTGTCGACCAACGTAGCCCGGGTTCATCGTTATGATGACATTACAGGTGGGATTCAACTTTAACTCGGTGCCCTCGAACATGAACTTGTCCAGTTTCATGCTTATGGCCATCTGTATCGATAATATCTGCTGCGCAATCACGGATAGCACTTCCACCTCGATTCTGTTAAACTCATCGAAGCACGCCCAGGCTCCGGACTGCGCGACACCTTTGAAGAACTTGCCCATCGCTTTGAAATCTAATCCCTCGGAACAGTTGAACACCACGCACTGCTTGGCCACGGCCTTCGCGAGATCCTTGGCCGTTTCCGTCTTGCCAGTGCCCGCCGGTCCTTCCGGCGAGCCACCCAAGTTCAACTTCAACGCGCCCATCAGAGTCCTATAGCATCGATCGGTCAGCGGTGTTATCACCAGTCTGGACGTATTGCCGAGATATTCGAAAGCGTACATGATGTTCGTCGTTACCATGGAGACGGTGATGCAGTCGTCCAGCCAGTAGTAGCGCAGCTGCGCTATCCAGTTAAAGTCCGAAGGTTCGTCGACCTTTTTGTCGACCAGCAGCTTCACCACGTCCCGAGCGTGTACATCTAACACTATTAGGGCATTCAACGTTATTCTGGTACCGGGCTCCAATTTGCCGCGCACAAGCGTCACGATTTCCTCTATTTGATCGCTGCACTTGTACAAGTAAGATGCCGTGGAGCGATCCTCGAAGGATTCGTACACCTCGCTAGTCCAATGTACCTGGCTGCTACAGATGATAATCTGACCGGGCCACGAGAGTACCCATTCTTCGCGTACAGCATCGAAATACGCGACTATACTATTCTCAGCGATGTCGCGTATCGACATCGTCATAAGTTCTTCAACCTGACATAGCCATCTCTCGACCATACCTTTTGCGTCAGCCGGATAAATCTTGCCACTCAGAGGCACGTATTCCTCCTCAGCCGACAGCATGCCGATAATCTCCTCTTCCTTGGTGAAACGAAGCTTGTTAATACCTTCAAAGCACTTTCGCAGATGCGGCTGTACCCGCTGCGGATCTTTAGTCTCGGACAGGATTTCCAAGAGTTCGTCGTTTGATAAGAAGAAGAATCGCGGGAAGAATAGACGCTTCTTTTCTAGGTAATCGCTCAAACCCTTTTCAATCTCTTCGAGCAACGAGTTGCAGAGTTTAAATTCCTGCAACATGTTAGGCATCGCGGTGGCATCGGTCACACGTCTATTGTCGTAGACGTAGGACATAATATTGCGCCAGATTTTGTCGATTCTACGGAAATTCCTCGATTCGGTTGGCATCTGACGCAGAATGTCCTCGCTACTAAATATTGGTTCCAAATACATCCAAGTGGCCTGACAAAGCAACCACTGATCGATGATGTCCTGCATCATTATCAGCTTTTCCTCCCACTGTTGCATCTCTTCCTCGAATGCCTTTACGAAGGGCGAACCGCGCATGGTCTGCGCTGTGAGAATATGATCGTCCAGCAACATCTGTATATCATCCACGGCAGTCAATATAAACACTCCGGTTTCTCGGTAAGGCGTCAGCTCAAAGTAGACCTCCTGCCACTCGTCTTTCATCTTCTGCAGATTCCGTTGCAGAGTGTACTCCTTCGTGGCCATCGAAGCTATCTCTTCCAATTTGGCGATGAAAGCCAGTAGTCCGTATTCGATCATTTCCGACAGACTGCTAGTGTCTGTTGGTACAATCGTTATGTCGACAATCTTGCTGATCCTCTCCCAATGTCGGGCTTGTAGACCTGGCGTACAAATGGTCTGCAATATTGGGATAAATTGTCGGAAACTTCTCCACCTTGCCGCGTACTATCTCAGCGACGCGCCTCGCACCTGGCACCTCTGTCAACATGCGAGCCAGCTTGTACAAAATTCGCCATGTGTTTTCAGTTTCCTCGCGCACTTGTTCCGCGTCCAGACCCAGGAACGGACCATAAAACCATTTGTCATAATTTCGGTGGAAGTCTAAAGCGGTATGCCATAGTTTGTCAAAGGTGTCTACCGTACTGGACATAATTGGCAACTCTATATACGGACTCAATTCTATATCCAGTAATCCTTCCTCCTCATTGATCTTCTCGGCTTCCTTATGAATCTCTGTCATGGTTGTAGAAATATGATCAATTTCATCCACGGCTTGCTCCATTTCTTCCATCGTGAGGATCGGCGGATCTTTTCGTTTGAATTGCTCGATCGTTAGCTGTATCGTATTTATCTTCTTTTCGAAGGTGTCTCGTCTTGTACGAAGTACCGTTTCTAAAAAGTTCTTTCTCATGTTTAATCTATTGCTTGCCAGTTCCATCACGACTTCCATTTCCTTCGGCCAAGTGATGGTGCGTGAATTCAAGTGGATATCTTCATCTGAAAGCGGCTGATAATCGAACAAGAATAATGTCAATTCAACTGAGCGAATTAACCGTCTTCTTAGATTAAACATCGTTGTGTCGCGGCTCTCACACAGATAGTTGTATAACTCGACTACTTGTTGCGTTGTTTCCGGCATCTTTGAGATATTCTCAGCTATCTCATCGAAGATTGAACACAATTCGCGATTGTTGGCACGCAACTCGCTGGCAAAGAAATCGCATATTTTGCTTCGAAGAGCGTGTAAAATTTCCCTCATCGTATCGTTTACAGTACTGCAATCAATCTCGAGCATGTTCAACGGGATCTATTACAAGAAAATTAGTCAAATTATATAAATTATTATTCACATTTCATCACATTTCACATTCGAAATGCAGTTATACTATGTTTTTATACCAGAAATGGCATTATAAATTTTCTGATAATTAATTTGTTGGTTCCAAATAATGTTACGCTAAAAGAAATATTTAAAAAGCTTTAAATTAATACTTTTTTAGTATTGATGTTTGTACTTTGGTATCGATATTAAGAATTTTCTAATATAAAAATGTTGAATTATTGTTTGTCCGTTTATCTGGTAGAATTAATTGCGACTCAAACGTGAACTTACTTTACATCGAAACATATAAATTTCTTTTCGTAGAGCATCGTATGCCTTTATCTGTTGTTCAAATTCCCGCAACAATGGTACTGGTTCCAGCTTGAAGAAATTATTCAATTTTTCCTCGGCTACTCCGCTTGTAATATACAGTAGATCGTTATAGCACTTGAGGTAATTGTCGGGACCAGTTATGTGCTTAATAATTATGTTCAAAACGTCGTTGATGATGTTCAATATCTATGATAGTAGCAAATTTATTGAATGTTCGACATCTTTTCGTTAAAATGTTTTATTAAAATATAAATATATTTATTATAAGTACAATTACCGTATCTTCGAAACGCGAGATAGGAAATAAATAACCTGTATCCTTCAGTTCCGGAAATAAAAGGGTTTCGATCTTGGGTATCGTAGCGCCTACCATGATGATCTTATCGAAACATCGCGAGATCATAGTGTGCAACTGAAAGATATCTGGTTTGCAGTGTAATTTCGTCGTATAGAGTTTTGGTTCCACTTTTACTGTTATGAAAGGAGTTCTACAATGTAATTTCTACTATATTCGCATCCATTTTAATCAACATCAAAAAAAGTTAATAGTTAATTTTGTTTACAATCTGTGTATACATAATAAAAGTAAGAATTTTACTCGAGAAACATGAGATCCTTGTACTCTCCCTCAAACACATTGCCATCTTTATACCGCATGAAAAAGTCTCTTATGTCTTCTAACGTTTTCATTATCATGATTCGTAGTTGCTTTGACAATAGAGAATTGACACTACGAAAATATTTTTCAATCATCGCGGTAGACGCGTTAGGCTGCATTTCGAAGTACTGCGACCAATCGTCCTTTTTTTCGAGAAAGATTTCCGCTATATCGGCCAACCATTCTTTAACGAGAACATCAGTAGCAGCGGTACACAGAGCATCGAATTTCGGCTTGATTTCCGCGGCCGGAATAGGAAGTTTGCCAAAATCTTGCATGCGAATTATTCTTACTTGATGATATCTAAGACAGAGGAGACCGTTGGTTATATACTCGATGATAAACATATCTTATTTAAATTATCTCGGTTACTTAAGCGTCAAAAGAAAACAAAATTAAGTTTTTAATTTTTTGATTAGCAAATCATTCTTACTTTGTAAACCATAGATCCCGAATGTCTCTCAATATCGCATTCCCGATAAAAAGATTATATTTCATCGAATGACTTGCCATGACTTTGGACTGATGCCAAGGCATTGGTGCACGAACGCATAAAACGGGAAATTCCATAGGAAATGTCTCTATACATAAGCGTTTTCGTTCATCGGAATCCATCAGAATATAATCCACTATTGCACTACGAAGGCTTTGTTTATAGTCGTCAACTATTTCTCGCTCTAAACCTTTTGTTATAGCATCGAAGCTGTAAAATACATACTTTTGTTTAATGAGAACATTCATTAGTCACAAATACACAACACACACACACATACACACATACACAAACACACTCACACACAAACACACTACATTAACAAATTATAATGTTAAAATATACTTTATTTTATTTCTTTTATCATACTTTTATTAGGTGTACAAAAAAGTTCTGAGCTTTAGATTTCATACAACCGAAATAACAATTTAAATTTTATATATCTTTCCGCCCTTTTGCGGTTTTAAAGCGTTGACATTTGGCCTTCTAAAATGCCATACCTGATTGAATTGCAAGCACTGCTGAATATAAACTCTGCGCAAACTGAAAAGGAGCTTGCAGAACAGCTTGGCGTTACGAAGCAAACCATTTCCGTACGTTTACATACGATGGGAAAGGTTCAGAAGGAAGGCAGATGGGTTCCGCATGAATTGTCCGAAGACAACAAAAATCGTCGGCGTGACACTGCACTCACTTTGCTTTCAAAGTTCCGGAAAAAAGATTTTCTGCACAAAATCATTATAGGCGATGAAAAGTGGATTCTTTATGATAATCCTAAACGTAGAAAATCATGGGTTGACCCTGGTCAACCTTCGACATCGACGCCAAAGCCCAATATCCACGCTAAGAAGGTTTCGCTCTGTATCTGGTGGGATTGGAAAGGTGTGTTGTATTACGAGTTGTTACAACCGAGTGAAACAATCACGGCAGACCGCTACCAACAACAATTGACCAATTTGAGCGATGCGTTAGAAGAAAAGAGGCCATTTACTGGCCAAGGACGTCGTAAAGTGATCTTGCTTCATGATAATGCTCGACCACATGTTGCGAAAGCGACTCAGGACCATATCTTTGCGTTAGGCTGGGAACTTCTCCCGCACGCGGCGTATAACCCAGACATGGCACCTTCCGATTACCTATTCCGGTCGCTGCAGCATCATTTGGCTGATACACATTTCGTGAGATTTGAAGAGATACGAAAATGCATTGATGACTTTATCTTCTATCCGGCTTCGAAGCCGGTGAGCTTCTATCGTCAAGGAATTCGCAAGCTACCCGAAAGATGGCAAAAGGTCGTTGATGCAAACGGTGAATATTTCGTTGATTAATATTTTTTTTGTTTGTTTTTGAATAAAGATTGAATTTTACAAAAAAAAGCTCAGAACTTTTTGTACACCTAATACATTCTAATAAAAATATATATTATATAAATAATGTATTGCGAATATATATAAATAAAGCAAGAAACTAAATACAGAAAATCAGCATCATTAACGCAAAATTAACGCACTATAATATTTTAAAAAATTACTATTTTCGGAATAAATAGTCTAAAAATAAATACATAAATATAATACTTACTCTTCACGTTCTTGTAATTTACCGATAATGCGCTTCTTCGCTGCATCGATATTAACATAATCGTATGGTTGTAAGTGGTAATCGCTTATACAATGATCTCTAAGATAAATTATTTTAGCAACATCTTCAGATTTAATTAATCGTCTCTGTTCCCTATAGACTATCGCCATTAATTCGGCCAATTGTTCATCCACGGATTTCGGAACTTCAGCCTCGACGTATTGTACTATCTACAAATATAGTGATGTTAATTTTATTATATATCTGTCAATTAGAAAAATTAGCTCTTTTATTCAAAATATTTATGAGATTTACAAAAATGTCTCGTTACCTCCCGATCCGATTTTCGCTTCGTTATTCTGCCTTTGCATACGGATAATTCTTTTTTCATTAACACTCTCGCTTTCCGACTTTTTTTTTACGCAACCACGTGTCATCTACTAAATCCTTCAGACTCACTATATTTTCCGGCAGAACATCGCGTTTCTTCTTGGCCACGGCTGCACATCTTCGTTTAATTTCTTCCTTATGTCGTTCGATAAAAACACGAGGCGGACTTATAAGCGTACCGTCGGCACCGAAAGGATGCCATCGTGCAGGCTTAATACCGCGTTTAGTGAAAGTCCTGGCTCGAAATATGTGCGCATTGGGTGTAAAAATACTGCCTATACTGTCGGTAGGTTTTACATAGCTATGCCAATGTTTGTACGGAACAGTTCTCGTCCACGAAGACTCCTGTATCAACTTCTGTTTCTCTGTAAATTGCAGCTCTTTTGACATTCCCGGCAATGAACAGTCTTTATATCCTGTTATTACATTTATCTTGTCATAAGTTTTACATGTTTCCTTTCTTTCAGACATTTCTGTCAAATCAACATTAAAAGCATCAAGATGTAAGGTTCTCTGTAGATGTCTTCTACATAATCCTTAGCAAATCCACTAAAAAAAAAGGTGTTTTGTTTTCTTATTATACGCCATTGTTCAATATTGCTTACTCCTAAAAAATATATGAATAAATTCTTGATAGCACTCGGTATATCATCTACTCTTGATATCAACAGATAAACCGTCAAGTAATAAGTATAACGAAGATATTCCTAACCCGAATCAATACGTTATATATATTTATACATATACATATATATGTATATATACATACATATCACGTAACTATGACGACTGTGACCATGAAGGAATTATTGATAATGACTGAAAAAGATAGAAACTCACAGATTTATTTTCAAATATTGGAATAAAAGATTATTATTAACGTATGTTTTTTTCAATTTTCTAAATATAATTTTTGTACAAATAATTGTTACATTCATATACATTGTGTAAAATATTAAAGATATATTCTTATTTTATCATATATGACAGTTTTGAGTGTCTAGATTATGAAATCGTGGAAGCAATAATATTTTAAAATTAAATCTAAGTAATGACTTGATTATAAAAATGTATCGATTTTTAATCAATACGCTTTGATATTTAATCATCGAGTTGTCAATGAACGTATATTGCGATTTGTAATTTTTCATTTTTCTTCGAAACTGGTCGATGGTAAGGTATGTTGGCAAAAAACTGGAATTTTTTCATTTCCATGATTCTGCTCAGTAAGCTCAATATCCTGAGTCAGACTAATCTCATCAGAAACAAGAGTACCTGCTTAAAAAAAAAGATATGCATAAATTATTAAGAACGATTGGATAAAATACTTATAATTGAGACGAGATTTACATTTATTAACGCATTTATTAAAATTTCTTATGAGAAATTGCTTGTCTTGGGATTGCAGGAGAACCATGTCAGACAAAATTTGTAACATTTCCTTACTCGCTTCCGCTTTTGCTTGCAGACAATACACTGCAATACTTTAAAAATACTTAGTAAATCAATATTTCTATTTACATTATTATAATTTGTAAACTATCTAACCTCATGCCGATCAATATCACAGCGCCAGTTACCGGTCTCGCAAGTTCCGAAACGACTTTCCAAAACTTGCTGCCTCTCCTCAAAGATAGTATCCCGTCAGTAATAAAGTCCCAGGTATGAGTATAATTTCTAAATGGCCCACATTTGTCACTTTTTACATTTGTAATGATGTATCCTATCGTAAATAAAATGACGATAATGCTAACGAATGTAAGAGCCAAAAACAGCGTTTGCGTCTGTGCCGTTCGCCAAGGCTGCGACGGCTGTCGGTAATATCTTTTCAATTCGTATCTCTTCATATAAAACGTACAGATTAATTTTATTGCGATTATAACAGATATTAATGGACTGAAGTAAAGGCCTATCCAAAAGAGCGTTTGATTGTATATAAGATTTAATATACTTCGGGCGATATCAAATTCTGGTCTGCCGACTCTCGTCGAGAGTCTTTTATACAGCGTAGAGCGTATAGATTGCAAACTCATCCCGAATATGGAAGCGATGAAATCCAATACAATGAGTCGATAGATCTCTTCGCCTAGATACGTTTGCCAGCAATGTGACGTACTATGAATTATCCAGAAGATAAACAAGGTACCAATTATTATTGCGGCAATCGTGTAATTTTTGATGACCATCACATAAAGTTCCGTGCGTTTGTTGTCATAGCGTTCCAGTAGTGCCTAAAAGTATTAATATTATAACTAACCATTTTTACAACAGGCCAACGGTGCACGTTACTCACTACATAGAAGACAATTGTTGGAAAAATATGAATAATGGTAGTGATGACTATCGGTACGATCATAGCTGAGATAGTTGAATGAACTTTTATATTGTAATGATTTAATAGTATCCAAACGAATGCACTAGCACCGCAAATCATAAATATAAAAATAGCTGTCGCAACAAATCGCATTATAATCAACAAACATTTGGCACAACAGTGCAAACGGGTATACTCTCTCGTTTGTGTCAATAACTCTTCCAGCTCTTTATAAATCGAGGCTGATTGCAAAGCAGCAGTTTTTGGTGAAGATATGTTGAAATCCCATCCACAAAATATTTTATTACTATATAACACTTTTCCATATGTTTTGACGTAAGATTTTCTATAAGATGATAAAATTCTAAAAAAAAAAAAATTTACCGCTATATTCAATTAAATTATGAATTTAAGGAGTGAATCGTATTAATTTTATCACATACTTGATAGATAGTATAACAAATATAATTATATAACAAAAGAGTAGCGTTAAGAAATAAGCAAACGGAATGCTATATTTGCTTCCAAATAGTGTGTCTACTGTGCCATTGGAATAAAAACCATAATACATTATTGTATGGGATAAAAAGCCCTGTAAATCAAGATATCGTGATATGTGCGCCATATTATATGAAACATACTGTTCATAATAAAATAAATGCTTTTACATTGCCTGTTAAAAAGTCCAATATTTTAATATCGTTTGGCGCATGCGTTCGATCCAATGACTGCGGAATCACAATAAAGGACATACTGAAAATATAAAATACCCATTAAAACCTTATTATTTATACTTTATATTTACTTCATATTTATTTAATATAAGAAAATATATAAAAAACTTTTTTTATCAAGCAAACAAATTATGATAATTATGATTATCTTTAGAAAAATTTTATTTTAATTTTAGATAACTCTAAAATAATTCAAAACGTTTGCCCATGTATATATAAATTAGTAAAACAAATCTATAATGCAAAATAAGATAAAATGTATGTAGACCTCAAAATGCAGGATATTATATTGAGAAAGAGCAACCATCTTAAAAATTGGAAATATATTACTATGCCGCTTCCATAGTGGCTCTCAATGATTTTTATTGTTTGATGCCATAATTTCATTGATGTTAAAAGATTTCGTATTGTCATTCGAAACTGTGTCAAAAACAATCATGATTAAACAATTCTCTATCATTAAGCAATCTCTCTCTTTCTTAAAAAGTAAAACAATGGCTTAAGCAAAAAGCCAATGTTACCTTTGTAAATCTTAAACTAATGTTATATTTAAACAATTTCCAACAACTAATTGGTCTTTTTGTCCTTTGATTAACAGTGGCCAATAGTTGTGACCTAACAGATCTTTTCACAGTGAGACATTGGGGTATCATTCTCACTGTTTCCATTCTAAACTGTTTTAACTCGGAATTATCCTGCATAAACTTATTGTTTGATTGCAGGTGTTTGGCAATAGCATTAGCACACTCTTCGTCAGATAAACGAGCGATATTACGCATTCTTAAAGTAGCATAAGGAACAATAGAATCTAGATTATCCAACTTGTTGCATTTTTCTCCTGAAAATATTGTTTTTGTTTTCATGCTCAGATAAAAATAATGAAAATCACTTATGAAAATTATAAAAATCTTGTATAATCAGGTACAAAGAACTATACACTTACTCGCGAATCTCATTGGCAATAGTTGCTGCATTTGGATATTTTGATCAGAAGATTCCTGGAGTTTCGCTTCTTGAATTACAGTAGACATGCTGCTATCGGTTGATATTTGTTCAAACTATATTCTGAAAAGAAAGTGACTTTATAATATATTCTTGAAATATACAATCGAAAATATTAATTACAAAATATAAACTTACTTCTTTTCTCAAAATGCAGTTATACTTATTCCTAAGTAATTAAAGAACAGTTATATCGGTGACGGTCGTTTCTTCTGCATAGGTAAAAAAGATAAATATTAGCTATATATTTTTCGTAATCTCCGGGAAATGATTTAATACAGATGTGCGATTAGATAACGAATGTTGATTTATCTAAAAGAACTTACGTGATAAGCGAATGTTAAATATTCTCCTAAAAAGAAGCACCTCATAAAATTTATCTCCGGATAGCGGTCACATGTAGGATCTCATATTATCAAATTCTCTCAATACTCAATTGTATTCTTCATCATTCAATACTCTCTCGATCAGTAGCGCGTTAACAATGCTCCAAAGTTAATCGTGCTTTATTTTTGCTGTGATTTTGAAATTCATAATTGTAGTTGTGTTAAACTCAAAACCCAAAGTCTCTTGTTAGATGTCATTCATTTCATTCGATGTGCTATTTAGGAAAATCAGCAGTGAAATTAATATCTCTAATCTAATTTCTTTCACGTACCGAATGTTTTAAAAAGGATATTTTAAACACAAAAAAAAAAGTGTTTTTTATGCTTTTATAAGAACGTACCTTGTAAATGGCAGACGTATTAACTGAGAAACTTGCCTAATTATTTTTCAATATTTATTTTAAATATATTACAGATGGTATTAATTTATTCCTGTGGTGTTGGAGCGCACAGCGAGATAGAAATTTGAATCTTTTCGCGCCGTGATTATCGATGTACAGCGATGTACATCAAATTTTCAAATACGATTGGGAATTACGATTTTTGGGCGTGTCCGAAAGTTTCGCTTTTGCAACGCGCGAAGCTATACTTTCGGAAAATTCAAGACACGGAGACATCTCGTTTGAATCTCCTTCATATAGAGTCCAAAGTGTTGCGGATAACAAAAAATTAACTGATCACCATCGATTAAGTCTTACCATTCAAAACATGCTAAGAAATCGGACATCAATCTCGGATTAACAGGCGATCTCGCTTAAACAGGCGCCATTTTAAAGTGATAACAATTTCCGGTTACTGCGGTGCAATAACCGGAAATTACTTTCGCGCATTGCAATGACCGTCATTTAAATTAAAAATATTCAAGACATTCTGCTCAACGTTATTTAAAATAGGAACATACATTTAACATAAGAAAATATAAGCTCGATCTTCGTCTAATTTTTTTTTTCAAAATCTGAGATAGTAACTTACGAAATTCATTTAAATTAAGAAAATATAAAAATGATATTAAACTATTTTTCTTCAAACTTTAAAGCTAAATAATTATACAATAATATTTGTTATTGTTCTATATATAGAGAATGAGAATGATTTTCAAATTATTTTATTTTAATACAATCTCTCAAGGACATTCCTGGCCATTTTTTGAGGAAAAAATTGAAGAGATAAGATGAAGTAATAAATTGTAGTTTTATTACCATTATTAATATGAAAGACTTAGATTAAATAAAAAATATCTTCACATCCTTGCATTGTTGCGCTTCAGATTATCCTGAATAGTTCCGTACGAAAAATCTAAAACATCAAATGCAATTTTTTTGCCGCTTCGTAACACGCATAGAATCCGATGTACCATCATTATTCGACAAATAACGCCATAGTTCTGACATCATTCTATGGTTAGTGCACTATATTACTATTTCCTTTTGCAGCATCAATATAGTAAAGTATCCATATTAGAGGTTTATATTATGTAAACAGTATACAATAAGTTTCATAGCATAATTTAGAATCAACATATAGCTTTCAGTCAGTGCACTGCATGATTGATATTTCTTTCCCTTTAATCTCACGAAAAACCTGAAACAATTTTACGATTATGGCAGTTACAATAACATTATAAAGTCAGAAGGATTCTGGCGAGTTCTAAATTTTGAGAATAAACTGTGTGTTAGCCTTCAAAATGTAATCATTTTATTTCATCAATGAGACACATTAAGATTTTGTAACATCTTATAATCCTAACTTTCAAAATAAATCAGTTCATATGTTACTTACATTTTTATCATGATGAGTAAGTACAATGCAGCAGTACCTCACCACATGTTATAATCGGTATCGTCTTGATCAAAGGTTATGAAAAATCCAACTAGAGTTGAATACACAACAATGTTACCTGCTAATGTCAAATAACAAGCGCCCCATTGTATCTGTAAGTATAGATTATCTCTGCACTTTTAGTTGCTCAAAGTTAATCAATTATAAAATTTTGCAGTTTCATTTTTGCAGTTCTTTATAATTTAATATTTTTATCTTTATAATAACTTTCAATAGATCTCAATGAATTCAAAACTAATCAGTTATAACAAAACTTGCTATTCTTTACAATATTTTTATATTATTTCAATTTTAATATAAGTCTTATATTCTACATAACATTATATTCTACATAACATACTACTGGTTGGGCTGCTGGAGATCGCGCCAACACAATTGGAAGAGCAAAGGATGATACTACAAATCCCATTGTGATAAATATTGCCAATTCTAAACATGGATTACTGTTGCTTCCTGAATCATCTGTGTAGCGGCGTGCTATTATAGTTGGAATAGGTGCCAATATATAGAATAATACAACGAAAAATGGCCACCATACTCTAGAAATTTTATATATATATATATACACACATACACACATATATATATATATATATAAATATATTATATATATATTATATATATATATATATATATATATATATTTTTTTTTAAATTATTAGATATATTTAAAACAGATAGATTATACAAATAAAACATATACTCACTTGTATATTGGTAATGCACAGCCAAGAATGACAAATGTCATTCCAATAGAACCAGCAAATGCTAGTAGCACTAATCTGTAATCATGTATTCTCACATTTTGCAATATTTTATCGAATAAAAAAATGCATCCTGATTATTCGATAGAAATTAAAAAAAATTAATTCTTCTAATTACTTGTTTGTAACAATACTTACGCTGTTTTCAAGAAGAGCGTCATAAGGACAGAAACAGAGAGAGAATGTCATGAAAAAAGAAAGCAAAAAGTTAATCTCTATGAATTATGATGAACAGCATTAAATATAAATGCTACATGTTTAGAAGTTTAATAACGCATTATTATCTAGTTCTTCAAATTGGAAAATTTATCAGGGTACGACAATAAATACGACGCAACATTACGAGACAAAATTTCTTTGAGGTAATTCTCGTTCATAGAAAAAATCGACATAGAGAAAAAATTCATAGAGAAACAAAGAAAATCATAAGGAGCCTCTCTCAGATTAACACGAGAAAATGCTCTCAAATCAAATTAAACGAGACTTAATAGACATTCAAGTTTGTTATGCATGAGTAAATGTCAAACGAGACAACAACTCGGGACGATGAGGTTATGTTTTGATAGCCGATCTCGCGTTTTTCGCGTGTCAAACCCTCGGTGCGACGATGACATTTTTCGGGAATTCGTGTTGTCAGGTGCTGCGCGTGAAGTGATTAGAAATACGCCGAATAACCTTTAATCCCGGCCATTGTGAGTCGATTTGACAAGTATATATTTATCGAACACTCGCTCGACGTAAATCACGAACTACGCGCGTGACGCAAACTGACTAAAGTTCCGTATATATGTCGTCGAAAAGAATGCGAATGTTTCTAGGCTCAGCATAAAGGCCGTGTCACATTACATATTAGTCTCAGTCTACAATAGTTTAAGCCTTAAACCGTAAGAAATTGACTAATCGCAGTCGATTCCTCTCAAATTGAATTGTGTGAATGTGGATCGGATTGGAATTTGGAATTGCGGATCAGCGGATTTGAAATCTTCTTTCACACTACGAATTCAAATTCTATGATAGGGATCATATACATAGTCCCCACTTAGGCTGGTGTCCCATGGCGCGGAAATCCACAGCGGAATGGAACGCGCAAACCAATCACAGTGAAAGAACCAAAAGAAAACTCGTTCATTCTGTTTGTTCTTTTGCTGTGATTGGTTCGCGCGTTCCGTTCCGCTGTGGATTTCCGCGCCATGGGACACCAGCTTTAATGTTCCCTCCACCTTCTTCTATTAAAGACAGAGAAAAAAATCAGGTGTTATTTCTTCTCACTCGCACATGTCGCCCATTGCCTGCTATAAAGCTCGGTCTATCTATACTATGTTTGTTCCCCTTACGTCACATTATGTAATACGTAAGTTTTGGGGTCAACTTTCAAGCTAGTAAATGGAGGAGTTAGCGGTCTAATGTACAGTATAAATGTCTATGAATGAAGTAATATTTCTTAAGTGTAAACGAACTAATTTCGATCCACTTTAATCCTCTTTTCTTAGCGGAGTAAGATCAATCCGGTGTAAACGCTCCCTAAATCCACTTCATTTTGAAGTGAACCGGGATTGGACGGCTAAGTGTAAACTAAGTCATTGAAAACTTCCTAAGCATTGGTCGATATAAATGGACATGGCCAATTGAGACGTGGATAAACGGAAGGCTCATTGCAACGTCAACCAAGCAACATTTAGACTGTCGTGAGATGCGTTTAGGATCACCGAACGCAACATGTTCAAGGATGTTTGAAAAGGTAGTTAAGATCGCCAATGGTCTGGCGGGAATAAACAGGAAACGGACAGGAGCTTGGTGAATCGTATAGAGATGATTTTCGCATCGGTTTCACTCGTGTCGATGTCCAGCGCGAGAGATTGCTGACAATAGGGAATGGATCAATCAGTCGTTTAACGAGAGCTTCTTTTGATAGTAGTTTCACGAGAAGATCAACAGCGAAATCTCGAGTATCTCGACGACGGTGAGATTTGAACGACGATCAAGTGTATCGTCCATTGTTTAAATGCACCGTCGATTAACGCCGCGGGAAACATGGAAAATGGTACAAAGACTCAACGGAGAAGAGCGGTGGAGAATCCAGACGAACACCAGGCCAAACGATCCAGATGCATTGAGGATAATAATGAAGTGCAGAGCAAAGAGGTACCTCGTGTACAATGTAGTATCAATGCTAGTATCAATAAACTCTGGATAGTCTAACAATAAAATCAATTGAACATTCAGTTCTGAAACATCTGAAAGAAGAATTTTATTTTATATAATCCTCGGGATGATTGTAAAACTAAGTTTGTATTATAAGAAGCTAGGACGGCCTGTTAAATTAGCCTATCAAACATCTAACTTTTCCATAAACAAATCTATTCAGATTATTGTAATTTTGGAGAATATTTTGATATATGTTTATCATATCTCTTATCGTATTTGTTTTACAGTATACAGCTGGGAAGGTGAAAAAGATTCGCCTTCATAACTTTATGTGTCATGATGCATTGGAAATAACATTAAATGAAAATGTTAACTTTATCGTGGGACGTAATGGCAGTGGCAAGAGTGCTATATTGACAGCATTGACTGTAGGTCTTGGTGCAAGAGCAAATGTAACCAGCAGGGGAACTTCTGTTAAAGGTATTACTATATTTTATAATTTGTTTCTTTTTTTTGTTGCATATGTTTTTGTAAATAATATGCAATTTGTTTACTATGATACTATAGAATTTATAAAAAAAGGTAGAAGCTCAACTACCATAGAAATAATTTTAATTAATAAAGGAGACACTGCGTACAAGCCTGAAATTTATGGTGACATGATTACGGTTGTACGTACCATTGGAGCTACCTCATCGTATAAGATTAAAAATTGGAGAGGTACTTGGAATATAAATTCCATTTTTAATATCCAAGTGATTATGACATTCATATTTACGAAAATTTATCCTCCATTATATAGGAGAAATTCTGTCTACAAAACGAGATGAATTGGATAATATTATAACAATGATGAACATACAAGTTGATAACCCAATATCCGTTTTGAATCAGGATGTTTCAAGAACATTTCTAATTACCTCTAGGCCAGATGAAAAATATAATTTATTCATGAAGGCTACTCTCTTAGACGCCATTGAGAATAATTATAAGGAAGCTCTACAGATATGTGAACAAGAGTACGACAAATTAAAGCAATATTCTGCGGTATGTACGCTATGTAATAGTATACTTAATTGTGTTGTAGAGTAGAGTAGAGCTGGAATTAGTTACATATTTCATTATTGGTAGGCTCTAGTTCCTTTTTCTTAGCAGCAAGTTCACTTTATAGTAACAATGCTGGAGTAGCGTTAACAAGACTCGTGATGCTCATCTTACAAGATCTTTCACATTATATATATGTAATTATTATTAATGCAACTTCTAGTTTTGTATTATATTTTATTTACTTCTTAATTATTAATTGAAAATTAAAAAAAGAAAAATTCTAACTAGCTATTTAATATTAATAGGAATTATAATTTCATTATATTATTTATGGCAGAAACGCTCCCAAGATGAAATGTCACGCGTCTTGTTTATGAGCGTGTCTGACAGCTCATTATTAAAAAACGAGCAAGAGAAGGACAGTAAGCGGCAATGACGAAATCAATCTGAAATGTTTGGTCCATTTAGTGCTTCAAAATATTATTTGATCAAATCAAAACAAAAAATTCTACTAATCAATTAACTAATTAAAAAATGCTTTGAAACATTTGTAGCATTAAGTAGATTATATTCTGATCTTTTCCTGGAATTCCATGTCTCATTACAATTATTCATTTTCTCTTATCTTTGGTATTTCTTAGGCCTTGTCACAAGTAAAAGGAGAAATATATAGATTGAAGGAAAACATACATAGATTAAAGGAGATGGATGCATCACGAGAAGAATTAAATAATCTTGAAATGGAACTTTACTGGTCTTTAGTAAGTTTCAGAAAAAATCTCATATAGAAATTGCTAAAATAATATTTACCATTTGAAATAACACATATTCTGATTTTGGTTATTTAGGCGATTACAGAGGAAAGCAAGTTTCATAAGTTACAGGAAAACTTGAAGATGTATGAAAATAATTTGAAGGAGCTTCAGAATGTAGAATTATCTATAGGAACAAAGAATGAAGAAATTGATATAAAAATCCAGTAAGAATATATATACTACCATAAATAAAATATAATTAATTTCTCAAAGTTTTATAATTATTAATTAGTAAATACATTTTTAAAATTTATTATATATTATAATAAGGACTATCAGTCATTTTTATCTCTTTTTTTCCATCTAGAGAAATAGAGCAAAAAATTCAGCAAGCAGAAGAGGAAATAATAGATAGCAACGAAGCTTATAACAGTGCAAAGCAAAATTATTCAATTGCGAATGAGGCATACCTTAATAAACAACGTGAATGGCGTTCTGCAACAAACAAAATAAAACGATTAGAAGATGATATTAATTTACTGAAAAAGGAAATTCAAAAGTTAGAAAAGTAAGTTATATTTTCAGAATATAACAACATAATATAATAACTGCTATTACATTTTTTCAAATTTATAATATTAATATATAATACATACATCTTTTTATATAGCTGTAATGATGAAGAACACAACAAAAGAAAAGAGATGAAAGAACGTCTATCAAAATTAGAGGAAAAATTGGATGAAATTGAAGCCTCGTTGCGGACTAAGCAAACTGGATTAATGCATTTGGAGAGTGATAAGATGCGACTTATGCAAGAGGTACAGTCTACTAAAAATGAATTAGAAAATTTTAACAGACGTATAGGTAAGTTGTATTAACAATAAATTAATATATTAGTGATAATTCTAATGATTATTGTTTTTAATGGTTATTGTCCACATAAAAAGTTTACATAAAAAGAAATTTTATTTTATGAAATTAAAGATAAGATCAAAAGAGATTTAAACGCAGTCGAGCAACAAAAAGATAATGCACTTAGTGTATTTGGGCCAAATATTCCGCGTTTGTTGAAGAGAATTGAAGAGGAGTATAGAAAAAATCGATTCAAGGAAAAACCACGGGGTCCTATCGGTATGCATCATTTTGGAGTTAATTATTAATAAAATTATTTATATAATTATATAATTTAGTTTATATAGTTTTAGTTTTCTATTAAATTACATGACACATATAGGTGCTTTTATAAAAATGAAGGATGCAGCTTGGGCTCCAGCAGTAGAGAATTTTCTAGGTGCTCGCACTCTTAGCTCGTTCTGCGTCGATAACCACCAAGATGCCAAATTATTGAACAGTATTATGAAGGAAATCTATAATGATAACATTCTTCAAGTAATATGCAGCAAATTTTTTAACCAAGTGAGAGAATGCACTTATCTTAATATTTTAAAATTGAAATATTTAATATATATATTTAATATATATATTTGACATTTTTAATTAAATTTTCAAACAAATATGATATTAGCAATTAAGAATATTTATTTTAGTTTCAATGAATAATCAACTTAGCTTTTAATATACTTTTTTTTTTCCCCCAGGTACACGATGTTAGGCATTATTGTACACAATCCCCACAGTATTCTAATCTCTTAGAAGCAATGGTTATAGAAGATTCTGTTGTAGCCAATTGTTTAATCGATCAACGTGAAATTGAATGTATACTTCTTATACCAACAAATGACGAGGCTTGCATAATAATGTCAGATGTGACAAAAGTGCCAAAAAATTGCAAACAAGCGTTTACACTACGTGGCGACATATTCTATCCCGATCCAAATTATAGGACTTATGCTGGAAAGTGTGGTATTCGCGCTAAATACCTTCAAGTTTCTACTATGGAAGCGATGCAGTAAGTGCAAAAATGACTTAATCTAGTAGATGGAGTAGTAAATTATACAATAATCTTAGCATTTTGTGCATTAAAGAAGATTTAATGTGATATTGAATAATTTTAATTAATTTTTATTTAGAACATTAAAGGAAGAACTTCAGGTAGCGGAAAACAAAAAACAAGAAGCCATCGCAGCATATAACACTATATATGAAAAAGTAAATCGTACTAATTCCGAATTAGATAATATAACTGCAATGGCCCGCAAGCTTAGAGCTACACAAAGCGAATATACGCATATGATTAATGAACTGAAGGACAAAATTGAATCGAATGAGGGCACTTCTGCTGATCTTTTCGTGAGTAATTAGAATTATTTTTTCAGATACTACTATTCTTATTTTTTGAACATCAGCTACGTCATTTAATCTATTATTTACAGCGAAACGAAGCCGTAGAATTGGAAAAGAAGTTAGCGCAGGAAAATACTGCAGAGAAGTTGTTAGCTCAGAACATGCGGGAACTTCAGAAGAATGTTGAATCTCTTGATACCAAAATTAAACGTTACAGAGATTTGAGGCACAATATGCACACAGTGATCGATCCTCTTAAGGTAATTTTGAATTATCTGTCAATAAAATCATTATGATGTTAGAACAGTAAATAGTATATATTTTTTATACAGGATCAAATAAAAGAATTAACACAGGAGAAGGAAAGACATCGACAGGAATGTTTGCGTGCTACTAGAAAATTAAAGGAAATTCGCCAAACTATACAATGTACAACAGGTGAATTGGAAATACAAGAGAGAGCTACAAAGAAAATGGTTTCCGATGCCACTAAAAAATGCCCTAGGATAAACACCACTAGGTTAATATTATTTATAAAGTAGTAATATTAAACTTGTTATTTTTAGCAAACTTTTACATTGTTTATTTTTTCTTTTTCTCTTCACATTGGGGAGGGTGATAACTGCGCAAAAAGTTTAATTAAAGATAGATCTGTTATATGCAATTAAAAATAATTGTTTGTGATTGGTTGTGAATTTTAAACAGCTAAACTTTTTACTTTTATTTACATCTTATTTATCTTACTGATATACATTGTTTCGATATTTCACAGATCAGTAAACGAAATCAAAACTCAATTAAATGATTTGAGAGATAAGATTCGTGAGATAGAGAACAAACTAGGTTGTCTAGATGAATTACAACAACAATTGAAAGAGAAAGAGCAAAAGTATGGAGTAAATATTGAGTTTATGTCTCAGTTGAAACAAAGTTTTGAGGTAAGTAAATTTATATAATTTTTATAAATTATTCAGCATATTTATTTTAATTATCGGAATATTTTATAATATAACATTCATGCATTTTATAGAAACATATTCAACGAGTAAAGCATCGACAGAATATGTTTATCCAATTGAGAGACTTGTACAGTGTTCGCGTGCAAAAATCATTTACCGATGTGCTTTCTTTAAGACGATATAAAGTGAGTAACTATAAAATCATTCTTTCAATCATGTTTTATCAATTTTTGTCATTTACATAAAAAGTCTTTTTATTTTTATGTTACCATAGGGAAATATAATGATTAATCACGCGAACAAAGTGCTGGATTTGCACGTAAGTGCGCAGAACGATAAAAAGATGAGCAACGATACCAGATCGCTTTCAGGAGGCGAACGATCGTACTCGACCGTCGCGTTTATCTTAGCTCTTTGGGATTGCATTCAGCTACCCTTTTACTTTCTCGATGAATTCGATGTATTTATGGCAAGTTCATGTCCCTATATATTTTGAATTTATTTTGAATTATTTATATATCTTGAGTAAAAAAAATAATTGTCTACTTCACGCGCGCGTTTATTTGTAGGATAAAGTAAACCGGCGGGTGATAATGGATATTCTTCTGGATCACGCCAGATTGCATCCACAAAGTCAATTTGCTTTCCTCACACCGTTGGATACGTCACACATTCTTGCTGAGGATTACGTAACGATTCACCAGTAAGTGGAAGTTTTCGTTTAGAAAATATGTAATTAAACATTTTTTTCTACGATGTTAAATAACGAACAGATTTTTTAAACATGCAAAATGTACGATAATGATTGATGTAGAACAAATTTTTATATAACCATTTCAGAAACATTGTGTTACAGTGCTTTAAATAGAAATGTTTATTTTTTAGATTGCAACCACCTGAAAGAAGAGGCCTGAGTTAGTAGATATTCGAATATTTATTTATTTTCTTTTTTTTCCTAGCAATTCATTAATGTCTTCATTTTTGTAAGAAATAGGAAAATATTTTGAGTTTTAATACAACAAAAGAATTTGCGAAAATGTTTTGTAGCGATAAGCGAAAATAATTTATTTGTGTTGTATTTGTGTTGAAAGGAAAACTTCTTTATATGATTATGTATCTTGTATATATAAGACATAAAAATAGGATTTAAAGTTATACTAAAATTTATCTTCTAAGCTTTAGTCTTATATGAAAATGAGAATTAAACCTATCTTTTTACACGGTATACGGTAAATGTTTTTTAAAATAATTTAATGACTTATTCAAATTATGTTATGTATTTGGAATATAAGCAACGAATAAGCGAACGGTAAGTGCCTTCACGACTGTATCACATTGTAAAATACAATAGTGTACAGATTTCGTTTTTTTAATATAATAAAATGTTATATCGAATCGTCACAAAATTTCGACAATCTATTTAAATTTCAAATTTAATTCCTTTTTAAACTCGTATCAGCCATCAGCCTTATCTAGATCTAGATAATTATTTCATATCCGGAAACTTTAATCAAAGGGTTCTCGAGAGAGGTACTTCTGTTTAATTTGTTGCCCAACGGCAACAGGGATACGTACGAATTACGCGTTGCACGCTACGCCATAGGCCGGTAAGTGGATCAAGGTTTCGCACACGGCATTGCGCGAACATCTGGTCCGGCTGGAGTTCCCGGCTGTAACGCAACACGCCTTTACGCGTTACGCGCGTATTACCATGCAGTGAGTTGCGTGAGTTGCCTGGGCGGTGCGCGGTGCGTACAGCGTACATCGGCCGGCTGGACGAGGCGTGGTGATCGAGACCTTATGTAATCCGCGCGCTGGCACTTGGTCGGAGAAAGTGCTTGGCGAGCGCGCTCATGAATCGATAATGTCACGGAAAGGCGAGATAATACCGGTGGGCTGGCGGCAGGTAGTACCTGACCTAATTTCGATAATTGGACCCAGTCAAATTTGACGTTTCCTCAACGACTTTCGACCCGTGCGGCTTTTTATCTTCTTTTTAGCAAATTGGATAACGTATTACGTTACATTATGGCAATCACATGTATTTAAATATTTGAATGCGTATATGTCTCGAATTATATAATTTCATGACTTGTTATTCGTGAAAACAGCATCGATTGTAGTTGGAAAGTATTATCGGGTGATGCAATTTTATCGGATTCGCGATGGACGGTTTACTTTAATAAAAAGAAAGTAGATGCTACCTACTATAGACACTTTGAAATCTTGATCTCTTTTAATAATACAGATTAGAGGAAGAAAGAAATTATAACTAGGAATGAAAAATCGTTATTTCATGAAAAGATAATGATTATTTCAACATTCAAGTCTCTCACACACACACACACACACACAACTATTCCCAGTCTTATTCTAAATGATTGTAAAATATATGTATATTCACATTGAGAGAAAAGCGGCTGAAGACATTGTTTTTTATCAGCATAAGGAACTCAATTATAATTATATATTAAAATTCTTTTTTTTAGGAAACGTAACTCTTAATTCTGCAGTTTCAATCAATTCCTTTTCAAGGTTTGAACTTAAGTACTGAAGCAAAGATACATCAAAGATAGGCCAAGATAATCTTGTACGACTTCACAACATTTTTGCTAAGAAAATTTGAGATTTATTCGATAAGTATCATTCCTAAACGACGATCAGGTCACAGTTCAATGGAGGTAGGCAGCGGGAGCGGCGTAGGAGATGGCGGCAGGCGCAGCGGCGACCTTGGCGAACGGCGTGGCGTAAGCGACCGGAGCTGGTGCGGCATAGGCGATTGGAGCGTGGGCCACGGGAGTGGCGAACTTCGCGATCGGGGCTGCGTAGGACAGAGGGGCAGCGTGAGCCACGGGGGTGGCGATCTTGGCGACCGGGGCGGCGTAAGCGAGGGGCGCGGCGTGCGCGACGTGTGCGACAGGAGCGGCGGCGACCGGGGCAACGGCGGCGGGTTCCTTGCGGACTACGGCGTTGAATCCGTTGACTGGGTCAGCGGTGTAGTCGACGGTGCGCCTGGTTCCATCAGCCTCCAACAGGGAGTAGCTACCCTGAACGAGGTCGCCGTCGCGAGTCTCCTGCTGACTCTTGGCATCACCGGTCAGGCTGTCGTGCACGTCGTAGGCATAGCTGTACTGGGGATGCGGATCGAAGTCGGCGTCGACGGCTTTAGTCACTACGGCCTTGGCGACGGGGGCGGCGACTACCGCGGGGGCCGCGGCGTAGGCCAGGGGAGCGGCAGGTGCGATAACACCGGCGTTAGCGGCGGCGATCAAGGCGGCGAGAGCGATAAACTGAAATAAAGGAATTAATATAAATACAAATTTTTAGAAAAAACATATACCGAAATATGAAATATATTAATTGATATATTATAATAATAATAGTAATACAATACACATGAAAAAGATATATAATAGATTTAAAAATATTCAAACTAAAGTCATAATAAAATAAAGATCGTTTGCATTTTTTTATTTTATCTTGTTAACTTTTTTATAACAAAATTTTAGTTTAAAATGCAAACGATAATTAGTAGTCCGATTTAAAGATACGAGAAATGAGAAAATTTGTGAACAAAATGTTGTGGCGTGGCCGACCGCGAAATCCGTTACAGAATTTATTTGAAATGCATTAAATGTCACAATGGTTTTGCAAATATTATTAATTGCACAGTTTCTCGATGTCGATTAACGATGTAATATATAACAAAAAAAAAAAAACGGTACAGCGATAAACAAATTTGACGAATATCCCGTTTTGTTATCGTAATACTTTCAAATATCGTAATCTTCAAAAAAATTTTGTTAAAATACCAACTATACGTCGAACTATACGTCGCGCCCACCGAAAGCCCACAGAAGAGCTTCACCGACGAGAATTATCGAGGATCTATCGAAAATGTTTTCTCGGTTCGAGAAGAACTCAGAAAGACGTAATACCTTAAAGGCCATTGTTGCTCGGGTGATTGGTAGTTCGCTCGATCTTGCGAGTCTGATGCGAATGATACCAATGGATGGATGGTTTTCGGCTTTTATACCGCTTTGCCTGGGACCTGAGAGGCCCACCAAGCCACATCAAGTCACACTATATCACACCGCATTGCCATCGCCGTGGCACACACACACACACACACACACACACACACACACACACACACACACACACACACACACACACGCGCGCGCGCGCGCGCGCGCACACACACACACACACACAGGTTGTACTTGCTCACTGACGTAACTGGGCGACGGTACCTTCGACGGTCACCGATTCGCGGTCGCGAGGGGCGCAAAATTAAGCAAGAAATCGGACCACACCCAATGAGAGCGACGAGCCGGGATCGGATCTGGCCTCTGCTCTCGCATCTTGAAGGACCAACGAATACCGGTCGTCGTCGTCGTCGTGGACTAGGCCACGTCCTTGCCACAAGTTATCCGATCTCCGCTCAACCCGCTCGCTCCATCGAGGGTTATTACCGAGCGTTTATTCCTTTACTCTCTACCCATCGAATTTCTCTTTCTTCTTCTCTTCCTTTTCTCACCTTTTCTCACCTACGTACCATCTATACCTAATATCCCTATGATAAGCTTTGTTGATAAATCATGAAAACCTATATGATTTAGGAATTTTTAATATGGAATGTAGACTACAATAATATAGATTACAATGTGACAATGAAGAAATAATTATATGTAAAAATAATCTTACGTTAATATTGATATTATCCTGTTCATGGTCGTCAAGACCTTGTAATATTTATATTTCTTGTTATATTTCAAGACTTTTCACAAGAGAAAGAGAATAAGCGCCATATTTTAAATATTTATTTTTCTCTTTTACATGCTGCGCGTCCAAAGTAAAAGGAGACCCTTCCAAAAGCCATACGTAGTTGTTATTTTGGAGATTTAATGAGAACACATTTTAAGTTTTTCAGAATGCTGTTCCTTTTTTAATTACATAACTGTATACGTAAACGAACGAATAATCAAATACCTCTTACGTGTTCTTCATATCGTATTTACGTTCATATCTTGATTTAAAGTCTATAATAAATAGCATAACTTTCTTTTTTCTTTTTAATGGAGATTCTCTTGGAGATCCAAATAGGGAGATTCTCTTGGAGATCAAAATGCTCACTTATAGAATACTTTCTTAGAGTACATTTGTCATTCTATTCTCTTTACAGGTTTTTCTTAGCTCATCTTTGATTGCGATGACTTTAATGCCGGGCGTTTCTTAATTCTCTACTACTAGCTCGGCTTAGACATTTTGATCTATGTTTCATAAAGCTATTTTTCACAATTTCTTACACATTTGCCTAGAAATTATTTTTGTTGAGGAGAGAATATATAGTGCTTTTGTAAGATAATTTCTTTAATTGATGAGTAAAATTCGTAATTAACAACAATGGAAAATTTGAAGGAATTATTAACATTGAAAACACTATTACATAATACGTGATTGAATCTTTATTTCATCATTACAACAACATAACAAGTAATATAATTTCTCTGTTATTGAATTACGTATTAACATGTATTTATATATAATAATAAATGTTTATGATAAACATTTTTATATTAAATTTTTATAATAAGCTTTTATTAATTATATAAGCTTTTGGGATAATATACAGCACATTTTTTAATATAAATGATTTAATATCTTATTTCAAAATTATATTTAAATTAGGAAACTGTTAATGGATAACATCATTGTTACAATTACAATTACAATTAATATCGTAGCGCGTTTCGACTTAATAATTCTATCTTAATTACTTAGTCAGTACCCTCGTAATAGGGAACGCAATTTAATCGACGCGACAAGTTGCATAGTGCTATGTGCAATAAAGACTGACGATGTTACTTGCATCAACTTACGTGAGTAACAACAGCATGTCGATCGACACTCGAGTCAAAAGTTAATGGATACGTAGGCCGACCGTCTGGCTATCACCAACCCAGATAATTATGCGAACTATTTCGAAATGTTTTCTCGTACAATTTTGAAGCCTGTTGTATCTCTTGTAATCTCTTGAATCGCGAAATGTACGTCAGTCAACGCGTATACATGACAAAAGAATAAATTTTCAGACAATAATTTTCAATCATTTAATAATTGGAAGAAATACAAAAGAAAATGTACATGAATAATTTCATATTTAGAATAGATTTTAAACTCGTCATACATCAGAAGACTACCAAAAACATAAATAAATTTGTAAATTGTTCTAATATTATATCTAAATATCTGTAAAAGATGGAGCATAATTCTCTGGTTTGAAGATTTATTTAATTTTTAAATTTGATTCTTATTTTTTTCTTTTTGAAAAAAACATTTTAATGTATTTCATTAGTATAGATACTAAATAACATATTTAGGATTTATTTTATTTCAAAATTATTAATTCGATACGCATAATTGATCTTTTACATCTCTGTTTAATTTATTCAACATCTATAATAACTCAAAATCTCTCCCTATAAATTGTTAGTTTTAATTTTTTCTTGCATTTGATTTCAAAAAATATATTCATAATCAAAAGTTTTTGTCATCCATTAAGAAAAGTGTTAATTATAAATATTTTCTTTATAAAGATGTTTAAAAAACTATGTTATTTTATTTATATTTTAATTTTTTTATAATTCAATTTTATTTATAGGTGTTCGAAACAATATGAATAGGAGAAATATGTTCTTTTTTTTTAATTTGATAATTTTTTCTTATATTTGACTATTATTATATAACCAATACATCTTTAACTTAAAATATCGCTCATATATTTGCGTAAGAATGCGAGGTGTAACTCGTATAAATATGTATATAAGGTATTTTGATATATACATTGCTAAAAATAATAAAGAGAGATTTCGATAATATATTTCTCGTTATTTTGCAATATCACGTATCACATTGACGTTGTGCATTCGTAGCGCCATATTTGTTGCATTCGTCAATGCTGGAGGATACGCGAAAATGATCCGCGTGTCTTCGTATGTTTAAAGAAGCGAAGGTTGTTTATTTTAATACGCACAAATAAGACATATATTCGTCGCAATAATGTGCGCGACTCGGGTTACAATTACAGCGGGACTTGTCCGATAATTGACACGCGCCGCAGGGATCCGGATCAAAGCGTTTTTCCTCGTCCAAAAAGGTGAGCGCGGTTTCGGCGTCCCGGTCATCTGATGTATAATTTACTGTCAGTTCGCTGTCGTACACATACTTCCTACCACGACCTTCGATCCTTTCCATAATCGGCCGAATCAAAGCCAACGGGTCACTTTTCCCTCTTTTTTTTTTCTCTCCTCTTTATGTCAAACGAAGAGATCCATTTACGTTCATACCTCATAAATTGTTCCCCATATGGAGAAACGTCGAAACGCGCATTTTCACGGATGTTAAAGAAGCGCGATGATATCGTTCAAACACACTTGTATCGCTTGATGGCGCGTCTCACACATACGCGATGATGAATTACGCGAGATTATGACAGCGCGAAATCAATTGCGCGTCATAGTACAAATTATATTCAACAAACTTTCTCTCTCTCTCTCTCTCTCTCTCTCTCTCTCTCTCTCTCTTTGAACGACAAAGCGACGAAGAATGAATAATTTATACAATTGAAATCTAATCCCAATATATACGTACATGTTTTCTATTCGCGGCATAAATTAAAATTTAAAAAAATGTACGAATAAAGCCACGTGCGAAACCCATTCAAAATTTTCACAGGTCTCTTCCTCGATCGCGTGAGCAAGATTGCGCGTGTACGTCTGAAATTTTCAGCGTCCTTGCGCAATCGTTTCGTTAACTTCCATATCCGCTGCGATCAGTGATTTTCTTCGCGTTAGACCGAGGCGCCGATCGAAAATCGAAATAGCGATTTCACAGAAATCTCCGTGGACAGTGGATCAGACGACAAAAACCGAGCGAAATCTCGAGCCTCGATCGCCGCGGGCTCGCGGGCTCGCGATCGATCGGCGCGGACCTCGCCGCGCGATATTCGGTCGACCCACCTATTTCTTCTCGATGAAAGTGCTCCACTTCTCGCTCTACCTCTCCGGGCACGGGCCCTGGCAATATTAGACGATATGACGCAACAGCGCGATCCTGTCTGTCGCGACACATTTGACACAGAGATAGAGACGTAAATCGGAATGTCTCGAAAGTTTCGCGACGATGACGAGCCACACTTGTGATTTTTCGTGTTCTCAATTATGCTTCGCTCGACACCGTTTCTCGCGTGTGGGAAGATATAAAATATATCCCAGAACAGTTAATTTTGATTATGACGAAGGAATCGATATACACTTTATGGAAAAAATTTTATTCTCAATCGTATTTTTATAAAATAAAAATGTGAATGACTTTTAAAATTAGTCTCAATTTTAATTTTAATAAAAACGACGAAATTGTTTAATTATCAAGAACAATTTGTCATATATTAAAACAGTTTTTATCTAGATTAAATATTGTTATTTATTAGTCGAAAATACGAAATATAATTACAAATTATAATTTGAAGAATGGATTCAAAAATTGCAAAAACAAATGTAACAAAACAAAAATATTTTATAAAATATCCTTAATAATCTCTATTGTAGCTCGTGTTATATTTTAAGAACTGCTAAAATCATATTCTAAAAATAATAATAATAATGTAATGTTACAAGCGTAACTTGGTATAGCGGTCCGACATTTACAAACATATTTTCGTAAACATCAACTCCTATCTCGTAATCGATTTTTTTGCGCTAAATGTTAGCTTCTTTCATCTAATCATACACATACATTGGAAACCTATATCATAATTTTTTAATCCATTCTTGATCAATGCCTTGCGAGATATCGTCACATTCAAAAACCGTGTACGAGAGATGAGATTTGGCATGGTCGGTAATATAAAAAAAACAGACAAGCGACATTGCACAATGATGAAACAATTACACCGATAGAAAGAAAAACCAATTGACCAATTAAATGTTGAAGAAATAAATAAATATGAAGCGATTATTACAAATAATTATAAATAATTATAAATAATTATACATAATTATACATTTAACTGATCCTTCGTTTTTTTTTCTATTTTACTATCTATTTTACTACAAAATTTTTGTCTCTAATTTTGCATCTAATAATGTAGTAATATCGAAAGTCTTGAAGAAAGAATTTTTGTGTTGTGAAAAAGAGAAAAAAAAACTAAAAATATTACTTTTATGATCTATGTATTACATTTTCATTATATGCTAAAAATCGCTTATTATTATTATTATCATATTGTTTATTCGTTTCTTGTTAACGTACACGTTACACACAAAAAGAAAATTCATTTTAATACACTTGGTATTAAAATTAATCTTTTACAATATGTGTGTCTCAAAAGCACGATATTTTCTTTGTCTCACGCCTGTGAGATGTGATAAATTTCATTGTTTTGTTGAAACGAGAAAAGCAATATCGTAGGGACTAAATCAAACTCATTGAATCAAAGCCATTGATTTTGTATGATCTACTTGTATGAGCTACTTCCGTCTTTGCCTAAAAAATTGCTCGCCGTATTAGATCCCTCCAAGTGAAGGCGTTCAATCGGGGGCGAGGGTGCGCGATCGCGCGAGTGTCGGCCAAGTTCAAGTGCGGTCGATGTCAACGCCGACGAACTTTCAAAGTCCGGCACCGGGATCGACGGTGGGGATCCATACGGTGGTGGTTCGGACCATTGGATATATAAAGCGGTCGCGATCAACACGGCACATCATCAGTCTCGCTTTGGTCGATCCAAACCAGCGAAAAATCCATTCAAGAATGGCGTTCAAGGTGGGTAAAGGATCGCAAACACGGAGAAATTCCCGAGTCCGTTAGACTGCGCTTCAAGTCTGTTGGGCTCGGTTGTCCACATACTTCTCACAAGTGTTCTCGAGACAGTAAAATTCGCGAGTGAAATGTCGATCGAAGCTGTTTTTCTCATTCAAGTTTCAAGTGTATTCTCGAAATCTCGAAGACCAGTCCGGAATTAATTTGCTATAATTGACCTGCGAGAATTCGAATTGTTAGATAGATCGAAGAGAATTACATTCGTTCATACATTCGTTCTTTTTCAGTTTATCGCTTTCGCCGCCCTCGTGGCCACCGCCAACGCTGGTGTTCTCGCGCCTGCCGCCCCCTTAGCCTACGCCGCGGGCCCCGCGGTAGTCGCCGCCCCCGTCGCCAAGGCCGTAGTGGCTAAAGCCGTCGACGCCGACTTCGACCCGCATCCCCAGTACAGCTATGCCTACGACGTGCACGACAGTTTGACCGGTGATGCCAAGAGTCAGCAGGAGACTCGCGACGGCGACCTCGTTCAGGGTAGCTACTCTCTCTTGGAGGCTGATGGAACCAGGCGCACCGTCGACTACACCGCTGACCCAGTCAACGGATTCAACGCCGTAGTCCGCAAGGAACCCGCCGCCGTTGCTCCGGTCGCCGCCGCTCCTGTCGCACACGTCGCGCACGCCGCGCCCCTCGCTTACGCCGCCCCGGTCGCCAAGATCGCCGCCCCCGTCGCCAAACTGGCTGCTCCAGTCGCGGCTGCCCCCTTCGCCTACGCTGCTCCCGTTGCCAAGCTAGCTGCCCCGGTCGCGGCTGCCCCCCTCGCCTACGCCGCTCCTGTAGCTAAGATCGCTGCCCCTGCCGTAGCCCATGTCGCGCACGCTGCACCCCTCGCTTACGCCGCGCACGCTGCCCCCGTTGCGTATGCAACGCATGCAGCCCCCATCGCATACGCCGCGCACGCAGCCCCCTACGCCAAGATCGCTGCACCCGCCATCTCCTATGCCGCCCCCGCATCCGCCATCTCCTATGCCGCCCCCGCACCCGCCATCTCCTATACCGCCTCCGCACCCGCCATCTCCTATGCCGCCCCAGCTGCCTATATCCATTGATCGCGTGTTGACCACGCCCGCCTACATTGTCGACTCAGGCCGAACTTATTTATTTTTATATCATGTATATGTTTTTCCTATGACTGATTAAAGAAATTACACACTTACGTACTTACGAGATTAATTATTTTGTGTGCAACCTCGTCAGTCCGTTTCCTTCTGTCTATATTAATAATAATATTAATAATAAGCCTATTATATTAATCAATACACGTGTACGTTAGATGTTAGTCATATGTAATATCTAAATGAATTGTACGTAATTCCATACATAGATATAACATACATATTGAATTGGGCAATATTATATATATAGTGAATATTTGTGTAGAAAATTGAGGGATTGATTGATATGTAAAGAAAGAATTTGAATCCTCCAGTCTTGTTCATCTTTCGATATAAAAGGAAATATAAGAGTTACATACGTTCATGTAACGAGTATCATAATTAATAAAGAAAAGTAGCAAATCGAAAATATCATGACGAAATAGATAAGAGTTATATTTACGATATTAACAACTTTGACAAATGCACGAGATTAAACTGATTAATATGTAAAGACGGGTCAAATTAAAAGTGAAAATAATTGATATAAACACTGAAAATAATGAGAGATATTATTTTGATTTGAAATTCGCATCAATTTTTTAAAAAGGCTTAATTAATCTTACTACAACGGTTAATTTGATTATATCCATATAATGATGATTTAATCATTATGTCTCTTCCAATAATACCGATTTTACTCGAAGAGAATCACATACATATCTCAACACGTTATAACACGTTATAACTTGTTACATTTACAGATACCTTATTTTCTCGAAACTTTAAAGTTCTTGAAAGAGATAAAAATATTTGCCGAAACAAAATAATTTTAAAAAATGTCTTAATAAAAAAAATATTTTATATATATATCTTAGAAATTAAAATATTAAAAATATTTTGAATAAATCTTTACCATTCTTTCCAGGTATTCAATATTTTATTTCTCTATTGAACATGAGATTTATTATTAATCGAAAGAGATCTACGTCAAAATAATTTTCTAAGACATTTTGTTTTGCATAATATTTTTATCACTTTTTAGCACAAAAATGTCAAGAAACTTTGAAGACGGAAATAAGGCATTTTTTTGGTGAATGTGGCGAATTATAATATAATGTATTGGAAATCTGTAAGTCTTTTGATTCTAAAATTGTGCTTTTCTATTAAAGCAAAAAATGTTATTTTTTTTAGAATTTTGAGGAGAAGACAGGAGAAACGATTAGAGCGACTCAAAAGTAGATATCGAGCGATTACCACATATGATGTGCGTGCGTCATATGCGACATTCTAGCTCGCGATTGCAACTTGTATTGTTCTGTGTCGTCATGCTAATATAAATTCACGACGCGATGTCGAAACTCCTCGCTGCTGTCGTTTGTGCCGAATCTATTTTGCGTCGACACTCTTACGATTCGAAATTACCGAAAGCTATTCACGTGGCATGTGTTTATGATGTGTATTAAATATAAATTTACGCATTACAGAATATGAACAAGTTAGAATATGAACTCGAGAGACGAAAAATATGCTACGACGAGAACTCGTGTCTTATTGTTCACTCTAATTTCCAATTATATAACTCATGATTTAATCTTAATACGAAATTATGCCTTTCTACGTGATGGAATTATAACCCACGTTTTCGTGAGACAAGTTTTATAAAAGCCAAAAAGAGATTTAAAGCATCGAGTGAATGATTCACATTATCATAAGAATTGAGATAGTTGAATGGCAATGATAGTATAATGTTCCAATTCCGCGAGATAAAGAGAGAGAGATTTTGAAACGTCGCCGGGACATGTGCTTCTCGATTTAAATCAATTCTCGTAGCGGACGGTACGTAATGCGAGAGATGCGGCATTAAATTTCTCAATTCCCGAACAGGCCGCACGTGCCCTTGATGCATGGGGTAAACTTTCGCGCGTAATACCGCGGCGATCGGCGTGGCGATCACGTTATTTCTGGCTTTGCCCGAATTGACCCACTTTCTCCACTTTTCGCTCGTCCTTTCTCGAGCACCTCCCCGGTGGAGGGACACTCGCGCAACCGCGCCAGGATCGCGACGAAGCCACTTCTCTACTTTTGTCCGTTGGTCTCGATCGACCGATTGCAAAAGCGCCGTTGCATCGTCTAAGAATTGTGGGCGTGACAATGGAGAAAATACTGGATTTTGCGAATGCAATGTCGTTCGTCGCGTTTCGCCGTTCGACGACGGCTCGCTCGGCGTGAGTCGCTTTAATTCGCGAACGATTGAGCTAGATATTCTGTCGAACAATTTTTTTATAGTTGAGCGATTCGGTTGTATGATGATATTTGATTTTATTTTAAACAATTTATATAATTTGAAAATTTTTAATTTTATTCAATCAAAATTATAATCTTTATAATTATATATTATATAATATTCTGTCGTTATTGATATAATTATCAATTATTTCATATAGTTAAACATTATAATACATATGACAATTAAATTAAATTAAATGATTCACGATTCTTTCGCAATCTAGATTTTTGAGACTAGATAATCAAAGTTAATTAAAGTTTAGTCCAAGCAAAATCCGCTATGCAAAATTTCAAATTCAAAGATCCATCTCGCGTCGGAACGGTGTATAAAACTCGCGTGAAAATGAACGCACGGCACGTGAGAGAAACGTAGGAAGAAGAATTACGTGTGCGATGCGGCCACGCCGTCGAATTCGAGTTAGTTTGCACGCTGTCTCGCTCGCTCGTTCGGATCCACCGTCGAATCCATTTGCCGTGGGAGAAAGGCGTCCAAATTCCAGGGCCTCGATTTAAATTGCGTTACATAATCCAGAGCGGGCCACGCTCGCGCTTTTCGGGAAGCGCGACGTCCTGGAAACCTCGACCAGGCGAGGCGTTCCATGAAAACGACCGATACACATAACGAATCGCGTGTCGATACCGAATAATAATTGGCCTTGATGTCTAAGATTATCTCTCTCTCTCTCTCTCTCTCTCTCGCACGTTTTGCTATCGTTACTATTGTCTCCGCTTATATTTATTAATAACATCATCAGGGTCATTTTATCCATCGAGTGTAAGGTCTAGCTCAAACAGTCAAGGTTTCAAACAGGACTTTCACTCCTTCGATTTTCATTCAGATCAAATTTCCTTTGATCGCCCGTTTATCGAGAAATCTTGCGTTATCTGACAATGAATATGCAATTAAATTAGGAAAGATATCTTGTTAGATGTCTTTATTTATTCTTATGTAAAATATTGAAGCAAGGAGACGTCAAGTTGGTTTAAATTAAAGGTAATTAAAGGTAAAACAGCGATGGTGAAATCGGCCATTAGAGATGCAAATTCGAGGGTTCGGTCACGTTTTCGGTCACGACGGACAGGCCCACGTATATCGCGTAACCTTCCTCCACGTGGAGTCGACACGCTTTTCAATTAATATTTATTGGCTCGATCTCTTGCTCTCATCTCGTATCTCACTTGATCTCCACTTGATTTCTCGTTAGCGTGACTTCTTGTCCCGTAACGATAAGCCAATTATAAATTTACATGCGGAGTGTGCGTGTGCGTGTGCGAAAGATAAGGCGACTTTTAAAAGCGGAGAAAAAGAAAGGACATCGTGTTTCCAACGAACGAAGGAACACGATTGCAAAATCGTTTAATCGCGAGAATCATCGTAAGCGTCCTTAATGACGCGAGTGACGCTAAATATGTTGTACTTAACATACCTTTGGAATTTAAAATCGATATCTCTACGAGACATACGATACGATACGGCGTTACATTGAAGGAAAAAACATGCGAATGTGTAATGTTGTTTTTAGATTGTGATTAACTATGTTCCTCGAATTATTATTCCTCTTTTGCCTTCCACATCTCGATAACTTGTTCAATTTATCTTCTCCATCATTCCTTTCCCCTCCTTTCCTCCTCACGATATATGATTCGCGTGACAGTTGACATTTATGATAACAAAGAAATGAGCCGCCTTGACAAGCGTAACATTTACTTCGCTTATGCACCTTTAAATTCGACATTGTTCGCGATACATACGCCGATCGAGCAAATCATGGGGGTCAGATAAAGATTCTCGATTTAAATTTTACTCCCGAGTGGAGTCGCGAGTGCCCCACCGAGCAATGATTTATGGAAAGTAAAAAGATCGACTGACGGAGATAATTTTTCAACACGTTCGAGGAACATTCGGTGTCCATTAGGCGTGTACAACGCTTACTCGACCCCTTTTTCGTTTTCGTCGATAACCTTGGTTCGCACGAGCATGGTTAAATGATAAAAAATGCGTAACCTTAATCGGTAAGTTCGGATATTTTTCTGAGGGTCGTACATGCAGGATCTTTCGCTCGCCTCGTCGAGCAACATCCGTTTAAAGCTGATAGTGCAAGATATTCATTTACTTTGTTTCGATTTTCTGACTCATTACAATTAAATTACTTTAGCTTGTAGCTTTCGATTAATTATAATAAATATCGCGATTATAATAAAGCGATGCGTCAAGGGGCAGTGATGCGATGGTGAAAAAAACGACAACTTTTCTTCATTTAGAGATAGAAAGAGAGAGGAAATTGATAATTTCACTTAAATAATATATTTATATTTTTCTTAATTTAACTTGTTTAATTAAAATTACGAGTTATATTAAATTCGCCAATAATTTATCTCATTGGTATTAATTCCATCTGCACGTGTGTTCTTTTTTCACACGGTAAAGTATAATCTGGCAAAGAGAATGAAGTAAAAATACCGAACTAAATAGCTAGTGGATGCGCAATAAATCATACATTTAATTCATCAAAGATTAAAGATACTCCAGTCACATGTATGTAGTCGTACAGTTACCGCAAGTACTACGTGCACTTTTTGCAAATCGAGTGACTAATAGCGCAATTTCGCGCATTGCTTTAAACTACGATTCTGCGATGTAATTAGTTACATCTTACGTCTATCATGAATTGACACAATCGAGAGATGAGGGGAGATGAGGCGCTATCTCACTCTCTCTCTTCCTACAGCTGTATGTACAGCCTCGTTGCAAAAGAGGGCGTTTCACTTTAGCGTAATGATTTCAAAGATTTCAAAGATCAAAGATGAAATAATAATAAGTCAAATCGGAATCTGATGTTTTGTTTCTCGATCAATTTTCCGCGAGGAATTGATATTTGACAGGGGGAAGCGGTCGGTATATTGTCAAAGACCAGACGGTCGAGTCGCCTCTTATTGCAATCGAATTAGCGAGGAACTCGTTCGCGGTTCTCGCCCGCGGCGATTCGCCTGCTCGCTTCAATTCCGGACCGGTCTCTCTGTCAAAAGTGAACCGGTCTTTTGTGCGCACGTAATACGGGGCGCGATTACGAGTGCCGCATAGTGACATTGGGCGCGGTTCTTTGATGGCCGTGGTTGCAGTCGCCCGCGTTTTCTGTTCGGTGAAAGTCGATCCGCGTGCGCGAAATATTCTCCTTCTCGTCCCTTTTTCGTTTCGCTGCACTCCTTCGCGAGTCGGAAGGGCAGACAGAGAAAAGAAAAAAGAGTGAGGAAGAGAGGACGATGTTGTTTTTCTCACAATGTTGTAATTCGAGGATTACGTGTTACTCTTTTCTGAAACTTCTGTTTTTATTCTCAGAAGCAGCTGTGGTGCTTCTGAACGCGCACACAAATATGTGGTGTTTTCGTAAATTATAACTTACATAATCTTTCGCAATGAACAACTTGAATTATTACAGTTTCAATATATATTAATCAAAATTTTGTATCGATTGGAAGGTATAATATTAATAGTAATTTATTATATTTAATTTTATATTAATTGTATTGGATATGTTGTGTGTGTGTGTGTGTGTGTGTGTGTGTGTGTGTGTGTGTGTGTGTGTGTGTGTGTGTGTGTGTGTGTGTGTGTGTGTGTGTGTGTATAATATTTCCAATATAATTTGCGTGATATAAAATAAAATAAAAAAAGGATAATATACAGTATATACATCTACGCTTTATTATTTGAAAAGTAAATTCTTTTAATATCAGAATTATTTTGACCCAATTTGAAATCGATAATTAGTTGTTTTTTTTTTACGTTACGAGTTATCTGCGCCATATATTTTGTTGTGACATTGATTATATAGACTATTATATACTATATATTATTATATATAGATTATTATATCTTATAAGCGTACAATAAATTGTATGCAATTTTTGTATCTTTTTCCAAAGTTTTGAATTCCTATTTTCCATAAAATGCATATCAATTTATAAATGGATCAAATAATCAAGATAAATATAATATAATTTAATAATTGCACACAAAAAATTATGTTCTTTGTTTTATTGTTTTATTATATTGATAATTTTAGTTCTTGCAGTAATAGACGTCGCTCACTGGTCAGACGTCTGATGCATAACAGCTGCTTCTACTTGTCTGCCTTGCATTGACTTTTACTACTTATTCTGTTCGAAATGAGAATTTAAACATATAAACGCGAAACATTCTTCATTTTATTTATAAATTTGACATATTGATATATAAAGTTTATTGTTAATAGAAACGTGACACAATTTTTTTATAATACCAAAAAATTGTTTACTTTTACCGAAAAATTTTAAGCCTGTTGCGCAAAATATAATTTCTATATAATTCTCTCACGCAAAACGATTTATTCGATTTACATATTTTTGATATGTCATAATTGCGCATAAGAACACCCTTTCAAGAAAAGTTGATGAAGATAATGATGTGTTATAAAAAGAGGGGATCTGTATTACATATATACAAAGCACCAATTAAAGAAATTGATAAAAGCACGAAGACAAAGTCGACAGTAATAATTTTATGATGACGGATATTGGTCGTAATAATAAGTTTCTTTTCATACCACTAAAAATTAAACACGTCTCACATAGCCGAAGGTCGCATTACGTGCACACATACGTGCGTGGCATATTTCTTACGTAAACGGCGACGGGGACCCAGGGACCTGGTGTGCGTAACAACGGACTCAGAACTTACATAACGACGAATGCGCGATGGATCGAGTCTGACATGACAGTCGATCGACCGATTCGCGATCGACTCGTAACTCGTAACTCGCGACTCTCGATCGGTGACATTGATCGAGAGTCGTCGCACATTCAGAATTTATCGTTTACGTACTCGTGTACTCGTATTATGCGCGTATTATGCGCGTATCATTCGATAATGTATTCAGTTTTTGATGACATGTGTGCGATTTACGACATAATCTATTGACCAAAATGTGTGTGATATTATTAATTGAAAATGTATCTGTATATTATATGCGAGATGAAATTAAATTTATGCATCAAAATTTAACATATTGTTATTATTTCATCCATAATATCTTATATGAAATGAAAAATAATATAAAATGTGAAAGTTTGAAGGTTTTAAAAAATATATTCTTATGAGATGAAAAAGTCAGATACTTTTTAGATATTTTGTCAAAATGTTGTCGAATATTACATTTAATCAGTTCTTTTTTCTGCTAAATCTGTAACTATAATGCCTAATTATAATACTTTCAATTTGAAAAAGTTGAGTAAGGCATGAATCGGATTTGTAAACATTCCTTCGGTAAAAATGTTGTTAAATTGGATACGCAATTTTCAAATTTTTCTATGCATGATTATATACAGTGTACATAATCTTGATCAATAAGATCGCATCAAGATTAATCAGCAGTTTGTCGTTATCTCGCGCTTTTCTCTAAATAAAAACATTGCAAATGTCAGTCGAGCATCAGAATCGGAAAGAAATGAGATGATCAATGCGTATAAATATAAGTAACACATGACAAACAATTTATTATAATATTTCCTTATAATAATTCTATCAAACAATGGATCGTGGTAACAAGTAATAATTCGAGATAAGCAAAAATGAATGGTTTACGTCAACGCGGCAGTGGGAGCGTAAGCCAGACCATTGAGAGGGGCGGCATAGGCAAACGGCGAGGAGTACGCGGCGCTGTACGCGGCATAGGGATAAGCGGGGTACGTAGCTACCGCCCTAGCGGCAGCGGGAAGGTCGATCAATCGGGGGCTCGCGATCTGTTGTTGTTGCTCAATCTGTCCAGCCGCCTGTCCGATAATTCGCGCGGATTGCCGCGCGATCTGCTGTTCCTGTTGCCGTTGCTGCTGCTGCTGCTGCTGCTGCTGCTGCTGCTGCTGCTGTTGATGCTGGATCTGCAGTGTCGACGGTCGTCTTTGCTGTTCTTGCAATTGCCGCAGCTGTTGCAGCTGCTGTTCCTGTTGCTGGCGCTGTTGCTCCTGCAGCTGTTTCAGCTGCTGCTGTTGACGCTGGATCTCTCGCTCGCGCGCCGTTGGTTTCGCCTTTAAGGGACCCGACCGGGCCTCGAGCACCTCGACGTCGGAATCGGGCCCGACGGCGGGGATCGACGGCGCCGGGGCGGCGGGTGCGGCGGGTGCGACGGGTGCGACTGGTGCGGCGGACGCGACGGGCACAGCCACCGGCGTTAGGGCGGCCGGTCTGAGCGGAGCTATCACCGGTGCCGTGACGGCAGCGACCGCCGGTTCCCTGCTGACAATCGCGTTGAAGCCGTTGATCGGATCCGCGGTGTACTCGACGATGCGACGTGTACCATCAGCCTCGATCAGACTGTAACTGCCACGCACGATGTCGCCGTTTCGAGTCTCGTACTGGGCCTTGGAATCGCCGGTCACCGCATCCTGCACGTCGTACGCAAAACTGTACTGCGGCGCGGCATCAAACTCCTCGAGCTTCGCTAGGGGTACAGTCACCACCGCCGGCACCACTGCCCCTCGAACGAGCGCCGTTAGTCCCAGGAGAAAAAAGAGCTGAAAAATAATAAATATCAGCACCTTATCAAAGTTACCTTATTAAATCCCTTTCTTCGTGACTTCGTGACTGCGGGACAACCGCATCGTCAACATCGATTCGTATTTTAATAATAACTAGCGCACTAGCGTTGCGTTTGGCACAGTTGCAATCCGATGCCATGAGACGATCTCTTTACACGTGACACGACCATGATAATCAAAAATATTTAGATAAGAGGAAAACGATTCCGAGATGCAATCTCTTTTGCATAGACATGCATACACAGCATAGTCATCGTAGGAAAATGAGATTCCATGGTTCCAGTTTCCTTTTCAACTCTTTTCTTTCTTACCGTGCCGGCCATATTTGCGCGCGACAGAACCGCTAGAAGAAGACTGATGCTTCGGGGTAGAATCGTCCGTACTTTTATACGTCGTCGTCGCTTTTGTGTCATCTGACGACGATGATGCTCCTTGCAGCCACCTACGCCCCACCTAATCATTACTTCTGTCTCTTTCCCGCTTTTTCTATGTCTTCTTCTCGGGAACCGTGTGTGGTGACCTCCGCGACGATCATTGCGACGTATAAGTGGTGTGACCTGCGCGTGTATCAATGTACATTGGTACACGCGCTTATGTTTCTTCATATCACCGTCGTCCGGCTGTACACGCGACTTGGATGCCGAAGATGCGACTCGAGGTCATTGGACGAAATTGGAAAATCACGCGCATTCAGGCGTACCGCAAGACTCTCTCTCTCTCTC